TCACGGCGGTCGTGTCGGAGCGCATCGGGTTATGGCAAAGGCCTCTTGAAAGGGTGCCGGCTATTCTTTGAAGAGAACAGCCAACGCTAAACTCAACGTCGCAAACCAAGCCGGGTGGATTTCAAACCGCTTGGGTGCAATGTCACGTTTGCGGGGCCGCAGAGTCCCTCATGACTTGGTTGTCTTCTCGTCTGTCACGATCGAGCCATCGACGTCATTTTTTTTCCCGCGATCGGCGGCAGCCGCCGCGAACCTTGAACGGCATAAGTTGATCTTACAAATCGATGGCCGCCTTTTGCGTTTCTCCGAACGAGACGAGCTCCATTGAGGAGCGGCGAGCACACAAAATGAAATCCTGTTCCAAGTCAAACTGACGTGTCGAACCAACCTTCAATCCGACAAATGCCTCAAGTGCACATCAAACGAACGGACGGAATATTTCAGTCGAGAGAAAAAAAAAAAAAAAAAGACTGCATCAAGGAAGGCTTTTTATGGGACTGTAATTCAAAGATAGTATTCAAGCGATTCCGGACACCGACTCGTTCATTTCAAGATAACTGCGGCAAAAATAAAACGCCTGTCACTGTTAATTAAATGCATGAAGGAAATGATCTTGGGCTGAGCCGACATGTCTGGCGTTAGGTAGACCAGAACTTATTTCAAGCGCTCTCTTTTACAGACCAATTAAAACACCGTGTGAAGAATTTTTAACTTCTGACTTTCCGAGGGCTCTCCGAGTGATTTACGGACAGCGTTTCACTTGTTTGAGTGGCACCAGACTCAGGCGAATGGGAATTAAGGCCGCCTTTACCCGACAATACAAAATAATGCAACTATCTAAACGTGACAGGGCGACACAGCGCACGCTCGCAGGTGGCGTGACTGGCTTTTAAGCGGAAGAGCTCAACGTCGAAAGAAATGCTGCCGACTTGAATTTGACGAAAAGCAATCCCAACCTTGTACAAGCACGTGAAAGGGGACGTTCCGAAGGAGAGATGAAGACATTTCCGTTCACGCTGCCACGACAGACATGGAGATATGTGCTTGTGTGTGTTGCGTTAGCATGCGTTGATTTTGGTGAGTCCGTGTGATTGATATTTTTTTTGTTGATCTGATTTTTCTGTTCTACATTTCACAGCCAAGGTTCACTATTCTTGAAAATGTTACGGTAATTGCTCTTGGAAAAGGATGTGTTTGAATTGCTCTGACATTTTTGCACGAAGAGCACGGTCGCTACGCTAGTGATAACGTCGTTTATCGTCATCGTTGCTCAAAGCGCATTCAAAATGGTTTCGTCTGCTGCGCGGTCCGTCCAGGCCTCATTTAGGGAAAAACATTGATGAACAGCGGGTAGGCTTGGCGAATCTGGAATGGGGCCGAGATGATATTGCGAGACAAGCGAAGCTTTGTTTCCATCCCAAAAGCGCCAGCGTGCTCATTGTTTTAATTCTGTCACCCACTGTGTCTCGCCATCGTTTTGTACTGCGTGAACGAGTTGAAGCACCAGACTCCAGCCGACAAGTGACCGGGTACTGAACTCCATGTCCGATGGGGATCAATCATGGCTTTGCCTTGCAATTGTCGCCTCGCACCGCGACTCCCAACCACCTCTCTCACGTCCGTTGACGTTGTCATTCAATGGCTCGTTTCTGCCCGTATCGTTGAGCGTTGCAAGGATTGGTTCCCAGGGTTGCTGTTTGGAGCCACGCTGCCGTCCACCCTCATTCATTTTCCTTTTTAAGATGGGCCTCGGGTTCTCGAAAGAGTCGAGGCTTTTCCTTTTTCCTGCCTTTCTCACCCAAAGCCGTCACGGATCCGCTGGTGTTTTTTTGCAGCGCGGATTGGAGAGAAATATTTACCAGTGAAATGCGCAATTCTGTGACAACGCCGCAGTAGGCCTGCAGCGATCAAATATTTGAGTATTGGAGTATCCCACTTGAAATTCTACCCGATAATTCGGGAAAAATGTATCATTTTACGTGGTTAAAGGGCAATTGTAAATGCCGTACACCGGATCGCTTGATCGTAAATGACCGACTCGTTTTCCGATGCGGTGAACTATTCTTCCACTCACACACGTGCTAACGCACTCAACGGCCCTTTTGTCAGGCTTAAAGAGCAGCGTGGGTGACCTTGAGTGCTACAAGCTGTGCCAGCAGCTGAGCCAAGATCAGAACATTGAAGCGGACGGCAGCGTTGAAGCAAGCGGGAGATGTGAGGGCAAAAGCGTAAATGCCTTTGAGAAAACAAATGGAAGACGCAATAGGCCTCGGTCATTCCATTGAAATTCAATTGTGATTTCAACGTTGCCTTTTCGCCGTCATAAAAACTTTAGAATTGAAGAAAAACGGACGTGGTGGAAGTAACCAATGCTCCATGTCGCTTGTGCATCACGCATGTGACGCGGACGTGGCTCTGCCCTAGCTGAGCGTGCGTTAGGCCGTGCAATGAATGCTTGAAGTTGACCGTAAACGCGTAACAAAATGAATTCCACACATTGACTATGTCAACCCAAGACATCCTTTGTTTTTAAAAGCATTGCCAGTGCGAATGAATGCTAAAGTTAATGTGAAATCCCATTGACATGCTAACAGCTATGAGCAGCAACTTCCAGATGTTGGTAGCTAATGTAACACCGCTCAAAAGCAAATATCCTATCTAATCTGTGAAAAAACGATTAAGATAGAGCTCAAACACCATAGCTTTCTTCTTTTTCACTCTTATCTCCTTTTTAAGCATGCACAGAACCACACTGCCCCTCACACCGATACAGAGCCCCAGCACTTCTCAATTTTAGCCTCTAAATGGGAGCTTGAAGCAATTAAGCCTGGGACAAAACTGGGGGGGGGGGATAAACATAAGATCTTACATTTATGAAGAATTAACGTGTTCATTGGTGAAAAATGTCCACCTTGTTTGCTTTCAAAATCATTTTTACATCCAGTCCATCTTTACATACAGGCTTTATGTAGAACAGCAACAACAAATTTTCAAGGTGAATATACTGCACAGAATAACCTCCAAGCGTAATAATACGACGACTGACTCTTAGGACAGCATTGATACCGTTCACCTTTGATCGTGTGTAAACCTTGAAAATGTACATACAATCAGTCACGTATTGCTACATTGACGGCAGAGGTTGACAACTGTGGGGCCGTTGACATCAGGAGTTCTTCTCAGATGTGAAGTCGCCGGCAAGCCGTGTTTTTTTTTTTTGCAGGGGTGTGGGGGTGTTAAACAAATGCTCGGTTGGGTAATTTGGGCCCATTTTTTTACAAGCTGTCATTGTACCCTATGTCGTTATATGTCATCAATGATTTGGGCAGGGTTATGTATGTGGGTGCTCATGCTCTCTTCTGATGGGTGTCAGTGAAGTATTCATTACACACCCTATATGGGAACGCCACACCCAGCTAGCTGAATCATGGGAACTCAGGTGTTGTTCACGTGCTTGCAGTGGCGGAGTCCAATCAAATTATAGCCGGTTTCAGAGAATTCAGTCACTTTCCATGAAGTGTGCCATTCCGTGATGGTGGTGTGAGTCGGAGCGGAGTGTGTTGACAGACCTGCAGCGAGGAGGCTTGCTGAACGTTCGCCGGAGGTTATCCCAAAGAGAGGGAGCGCCAACGGAAAAGGCTGCATCCCCTGTGAGCCTCCGCTTAGTCCTCGCTACCTCTAATAGAGTGTCTGGTCCGCAGACTTGAGGCACCGGGCAGGGAGCTCAGAGAGGTCAAGTGGGGCCGGGCCATTTCAAGATTTGAAAAAACAAATCCTGGGATCTTCAAAAGAAATCTCAAATGAGTCACTGTAGGGATGCCAGAGTAGAAGTTTTGTGCTTTCTCTTACGAGTTCCAGTCAAGAGACGAGCAGCGGCATTCTGGACCAACTGGAGACGCTCGATGGAGGCGACGCCGCTGAAATTGGAACATGGCACCCCCCCATATATATATATATATATCTCTCTCTCTCTCTCTCTCTCTCTCTCTCTCTCTCTATATATATATATATATATACATACATACATACATACAGGCAGTTTTTGTCTTGGAGGGGGGGAGAGTGTACAGTTCCACCTTTTCCCTGCCGCCCACTCGTGGAATACTCGATGAGTCATCACAATAGGCCAGCGTTTCAAATTACCGTTGGACATATGCAGAATTAAATGAGCAAATAGCTCCATATTGATATGCTGGTAGGATATATTCTTGGCTCCATCTGCGGTTCAAAATCCAGTACAATGAAAACCAGAACCGTCTGACCTCATTGAAGCGGCTGCCAAATCCCGAGACTGCCTCAATCCACGCTTGTGTTCCTACAAACAAAGACGTGCGCACATTCTCATTCTAATTTGGGTTTGTGTTTTGTTCCTACGCCACTGACACAACCCAAATACAGGGAACACCGATGGAGGATGTGTGTCGCCCGCAATCCGTTTTCGTACCAGTCGTTAAATGGCATGCATATGAGCAGTACTGGTTTTCCTGTTTCAGCAGAAATTTCATTTAGGTTTGAACAAATATGGAAACTATTGCCGTTGCGATGTTTTTCCTCACCATGATGATTGCTCTTTTTCTTAAGGTGATTTTCCAGTGTAGTTTTCAACAAGCCCAGTGCAGTGAATTCATCTTTATTACAACAAACATCATCACGACAGGATATTAAAAATACAAATTAATCATCGATCGGGAGTTGATTTATCGGCTGCAGGTGAAAACGTCTTCCGTATTTTGACCTGCGGTCCTGGAACCATTCACCACAACAACGAAATTCTGCCGCATAAGTTCTATCATGAACGAGCCCACAGAGAAAAACTGTTGAGTGCGCGGAGAACAATTCTTGATTGTTTTCTCTCTCTGTCTCTCTCTCTCATTTTTGAGTAACAACTTGTCATCACTGACAATCATGAGAGAGAGAGAGAGGCTTAAAGTTGTTTTTGAGTGGTTGTTGTTGTTTTTTTTTTTTTTTTGCTTGTGTTCATCTTCCAATATGTTTGTGTTTTGTCTTTGTAGGCGGAACCAGTGATGAGACCTCTCTGTACAAGTCAAGACAACAAGCGGCCATTGGGTAGTCACTCGAACCACCGTGCGTTTTCGAAAGAAGCCTTCCTTTGATTGTGCCGCGGCTGGCACTCTTCTCGTCACGACACTTCAAACCACCAGCATCCTTTTTTTTTTTACATGTTCCAAGATTGAAGAAGATTTTGACAGATTTATCTCTTATCCTCTCTCCTCCATCCAGTCAGAAGAAACATCTGCGTTTTACCTCCTGTAGAAATACAAAAAGGATCGAAACAATTATCTGGAATTTTTTTTTTTTTTTGAATTTGTGCTCAATTTCTATGAATACCTCGGGGACACTTTTTCCAGTTATCTACCTCTTCCATCAAAACAGCCAACTCAGTGACCGGAACACAGCAACCTGTGACCTCATACTGCTGTTACCGTGACAACCTGGATTGCCTCTCAAAACTCTTCTTGCTGCAATTGTTCCAGCCAGCACCGGTTCTGGACATGGTACCACCTCTCGGCCTGGATTTGCGCAGTGTCTAAAATTGGACTCGCTTGAGCCCCAAGTTAGTTTTTACTGACCTTAAAAAAAAAAAAAAGACGAAACAGAACACCTTGCCGCAAAAGTTACCGTATACCAGCTGTACCCTCACCCGTCCACCAATATACCTCAGTTGACAAATGGTTTACACACTCAAGTCACGAAAACAGAAGAAGGGAACAAGCTACCGTCTTGGAAAAGCCCGGCGCTTCAGTCGACCCCCCCATTTCAGCATGTTTTATTTGCCTTAGAGACCTGCGTGTGTAGCAACCATAAGCCAAGAAGTCCAAGCCCAGAGAATCCGTTTGGACTCCACGACGCCTCACTCCCACTCGCTTCCGAACGAGAAGCCTCAACGTTTTTGCGACGGCGCCGATAAGCGATTGCCCGACCGGCCTCCCGAGAAGGCGAGGTTTCATTCCGAGGTGCGCTTCCTCTCATTCGTTGAAGCTTCCAGAGAAGTGCTGAGCAGGAGGAAATGAATGCAGACTTCCAGGAAAACACAAGTCAAACCACGGGCTAAATTGGAAAGTCAAGACTCGGGGCGATTCTTCCTGCATAGCGCAAAAAAAAAAAAAAAAAAAAGCTCCAGAGAAGATGCCTTAAGAGTCAGGAAAGGAATGCGCCGGTGAGTTTCTTTCGTTCTTTTTTTTTTCCTCCTCGTTAAACCTGCTCCGCAGACGCCATTAATAATTTATTGTCACAGTGAGGGGGGATGAATAATTATGTTGAATTTTGTGAGCGGTTCTGAACATCGTCGTTCTGCATACCGCAAATTGGTACAGGATTTCTGATTTCACTGATGCGGAGAAGAAAATATGCTTATTAGTCCATAAAAGCGCAACTTCACAGCTCATGCTGTGAAGTTGCGTCTGGGCACAGTTGATTCACCACCGACTGATACATCTCGAGGGGGGGAATTTTTATACATTCGAATAGTTCGGCCAATTATTATATCTGCTGTTAACAAAACACATTTTGGTTTTACATCAAAATATGAGGATGAGACATGACATGGACATCGAAGCTTTTCGAGGTCTCTTTCTCTAAACCACCATCGGGGCTCACAATCACACCAGGAAACAATTTGGAGTGTTCCATTCACCGACGGTCCATGTTTCTGGAATGTGGGAGTAAAGCGGAGTACCCGGAGAAACCCCACACAGGCACGGGTAGAACACGCAAACTCCAGACGGGAAGGCCGGGGCCGGAATCGAACCCTTGCACCTCTGCGTCGTGCGGCCGACGTGCTAAGCAGTCGCCCCCTCTATTTGTTCATGTAGATGTCGACACCCATTCCACAAAGATTAAGTCTTCATCTCATCGCGACATAAGCAAACATTGTTTTTAGAATTTAAAGGCTAATCTCTTTGCTCCCACCGAGACAAATTCTTGCCTGGCTTTCCCCAAATCTTCTTGCAAAAACGAGTGGCTTGTGTTGTAGGCTCCGCGCTATTCATTTTGAAGTCGAGCAGCCCATTGCGATGCCTTCACTTCTGCCTTTTGCCGATTTCACTTGCGGCGTTTGTTTGGCCGACGCGTCTGTCGTCAACCGTGGCTTTTTTCTCGATCTACCAGTTTGTCCTACGTTCCTCAGTGAGGACGTGCCAAACGGCCGTACGGCTTTTGGTCAACTCGTATACTTGGACTTTGTTTGATCTTCTCTCGGGTTCGTGCCCGCTTATTTGTTACCAGTTTGTCCTACGTTCCTCAGTGAGGACGTGCTGTTCGGCCTTTGGTCAACTTGTATACTTGGACTTTGTTTGATCTTCTCTTGGGTTCGTGCTCGCTTATTTGCAACCCGATGTGTTTCTTTCGTTTTTGTTTGTCGTTCCAGTGGTGACGCCTCGTAGAAAAATCACAATTTATCTCATGCGGCGTTGATGAAACAAACGCCGTCCTCTTTCGTTTTTGTTTGTCGTTCCAGTGGTGACGCCTCGTAGAAAATCACAATTTATCTCATGCGGCATTGATGAAACAAACGCTGTCTTTTGAGCGCATGGATTGCCTTTGCAGGCGAGAGAGGCCCAATCATGCAATCTGGAGTCTGACACGATCTTGTTCTAAACATTGTCGTCAATTAACGGCATGGCTAGAAAAAAGTCAGACAAAAAAAAAAAAAAATCACCAGAGTGTGAGTCCTTGTCATGCATGACTTAAGTACATGTTTGACTCTTCTCTCACGGGTTCAGCTCAGCCAGCGTCCTCGAACAGATTGTTCCAGAGCGCTGAGGTTCCTTCCACGGTATCATTTTGTCTCACTCTTTCACTTAAGTACATGTTTGACTCTTCTCTCACGGGTTCAGCTCAGCCAGCGTCCTCGAACAGATTGTTCTCGAGCGCTGAGGTTTCACGGTATCAAATTGTCTCACTCTTTAGCAACAGAAAAAGAAGTGGTGGCGTGGACACGCATTCTTCACTTGTCATTGAAGGATCAGGGAGGAGGTCACGCAAAAACAAACAGGGCTGTCATCTTCCAACAAAAATCATCCTGAGATGTGGATGATTCGATTCGCAAAATGCATCTGTGATGGTCTTGAGTTATGTAAGCACAATGGGAGGGAGGGTGGGAGGGGGCTGGGTTTGGCCCCGGGAAAACACGAGAACTCCGTCGACTAGTATATGAGAGATTGTGAACAGAAATAGACAGATTTGTGACCCAAACCGCAGCTTTTTTTTTTCTTTTCTTTTTTTTTTTTGGTCCAAGCCTCACCTCTGATAACCCCATTCCTTTTATCACCGTCTGTCATTCACATATAACATACGGCATGATTGATAGTCATCTCACATCACAGCGCCATAACTTATTTCTGGGGGGGCGCTCTCTCGCTCTCTCACTCACAAGTCCTATTGTGTTTAGAAGTTGCCCAAAAAGGAAGGGCAAGATGGCACCTATCCTCTGCTTCCAGTTGCCATGGCAACACACTTCGCCACCCACCACCGCCGCCGCCGCCGCCACCTGTGGCTTGCTTGGCTCTACTGTGATGTATAGGAGACTGCGTCCAACAATGAGATTCTCCATGATGCTTTGTCAATGTGGACATGAACATCAGTAGCTGACCCAATTCTGCTGTTGCAAAGAGTGCATCGGGGACAAACTAAGGCGGGATGAAATCCCCTGATCCAGGAGTGTGCATGTGAGACTGTGGTATGCATAGAATCCTCACGCACTAGTAAGTGGGCCATTAGATGAGTCATCCGCCGTCTGTCCGGGCGCCGCAGCTGCACTCGCGTCGCTGCAAATTTGTGGACCCAACGTTGATTTCATCGATAAGATGAGTTTGCAGACCGTTGTCGCCGACGAATCCTTTCCCCCCCCCCAGAGCGTATGTGCTGAACCTTGGCAGCCCGCGTTTCGAGTGACGCTGTATATGGGTGACGTAACGCAGCGTTCCATAATCGCTGACTCAAGTCGAGAACGTCTGGTACATCACCGAACGGTGACAAACCGTACTTTTTGGTGGTAGGGAAAAAAAAAAAAAAAAACGAGACATAATCGCTGACTCAAGTCGAGAACGTCTGGTACATAACCGAATGGTGACAAACCGTACTTTTTGGTGGGCGGGGAAAAAAAAACAAAAAACGAGACCTGAAAAGGTGTTGCTGAGCGAACCACAGTTCAACGGCTGTAAACAAGTCCATGCACTCACCAGATGCCAACTTCCTCGCTCCCCATCCTCCAAGCCAAGCCGGCTCCTTTTTGCTTCGGTCTTCGATGCCGGCGGTGTTGTACACCTCGTCGCGCTCACACACCGCAATGATGTTGTCTTTCGTTGTTTAGATGTCACCGCGCCGCTATGTCCGTGGCCGTACGTTCCCAACGCCAAGTAGGCCGTCGGCGGCGCGACGCCGTGAGAAGTTCGCACTTGCCGTGCATGCAAATACAACACACAGCAATCGAACCCGTCGAGCGAAATGCCCGATAACGTCACTGCGCTTCCAACACTGAGAAGCAAATTCAATTCTTGAGCGCGGTAGCTGCGTCGCACCTACAAGTGCGGTGAACGTGCACCGGACGCGGACCAGGCCACACTTCTTGGTTGCATTCCCACTGCAAAACGCCGACATTCGCACTTGCGATGCATGCAAGTACAACACACAGCAATCGAACCCGTCGGGCGAAATGCCCGATAACGTCACTGCGCTTCCAACACTGAAAAGCAAATTCAATTCTTGAGCGCGGTAGCTGCGTCACACCTACAAGTGCAATCAACGTGCACCCGGACAGTAGCCAGACAGGGCAGCATAACTCCATGTCGATGCATGCGCAACTCTACGTGTGCAGATAATCATCCGTATAATAACCACCCTTTGCTAAGAATTGGACCCATGAACAAACGCAGGTGCACACGCGCGCGCACACGGACTGTAACAGTCCAGCCTGCAAGACTCGAAAAGCAATTAATGCGCACAGAGCCAATATAGCAAGTGAATACCGGAGGCGACGCGGATCCCTTGCTAGCGAGTGGAATGTGGACTGGCTAAAATGGGAGGGATGACAGTGTAGACACAATAGAGTGAAGGGGGGGTGGGGGGGGGGGGGGGGGGGTGAAGCCTTGATGAGATTAGTTCAGAGTGAATGAGATGAGGACTATTTTATTGTCATGAATACATTTCTACATGCGTTGCGCTACAAGTGCAGCTTTGCAGCACTCTCACAGAGCAACGAGGGGGGGGGGGCTCGCCTCGTTCCGTGGCGCTTTCGTTCGAGAAGGGGGAAGCCCGCGCTCCTATTGCGCCAGGCGGAATACGCGCTAAGAGAACCGTTTGGAAAACGCTCGATCCAATGCGCAGACCGAGCCCGAAATGTTGAGTGCGTTGTGCATTCCAGTCTGAAAAGCCAAAGAACGACAAGAACGTGGCTCCGATCTCCAACGCCGACCCCTTTTTTTTTTGGATCGACTCTCAGCAACAGCGACATTATCTCCACGCGATCATCTGCTGATTGTTTACTTTGTAAAATCGAATGGCACAATGCACGGCGCGGTAGAAGGCGGCCTCGCTGCCCATCCGGCTGGCTGTCCGCTTTTCACATTGTCGTTCATCAAAGCGAGAACGTTGGACCATTGAGAGTTTGAAACCCGAGATGAGCCGCGCACGGCTTTTATGTTGTCCTCCTCACTGCCCATTAAAATTAAGGATATTGCCGGAGCGACTCCAAATAGACAACGCGTGCCGTGCTTATCGACACAGAGTGGCGTCCGCAAAAGGCGCCGAAGGGCACCTTTCGAGTGTCTTTGATGGCTAAATGGCGTGCGTGTCCTTTCGGACGTTCTCACGCGCTGACTTCCTCAAGTGCGGGGGGGGCTCGGCTTTGTTTTGATGTGAAACTCTTTCGGCTCTCCCCTTTTCTGTGGCCAAACAGTTTCAAGTACAGAAGCGAGATGGAAATGAGCTCATTAGGAGTGCGCCGTCTGTTGGAGTTGAGCTTGTTACTTGACAAAAAGCGATTCACGCGGCGGAGCCGCGTGGACGGTCAATGCGGCGAAAAGGAGATTTCATCCCTTGGCCATCCTGAAATAAGGCCATCCTGCCCACGGGCGTCACGTCACGTCCATGAACCCTGTGCTCCACAATTTGCTGGGGATCAAAATCTTCAGTCGTTCGTTCATTCATTCACCCCCCACCCCCCTCCTTAAAGTCAAACATTAATGGAAAAGATGTTTGCCCACTCATAAACTAAATGCATATGGGGCACGCAAGGCAAACACGGGCGACTGGCAACGTGACAATAATAAAGAACACAATGTGAGACGCGATGTAAGCAATACGCCGCCTGCTCTTGCGCTGTGCCTAAGTAGGTTAGCACAAATCTTCTGTGTACTCTTTGACCCGCGTTTGTTCACGCTAAGATGGAGGCCGGCTTCATGAACTTGTTTGCACTGATTAAAAAAAAAAAAAAAAAGCATCTGACGCCAATGATGTTTGCCCGCTAAACGTGTCTTACTTTCAGCCCCATGTCGCGTCCTGAACTGACAATCCCAGCGCCTCGGTTCTTCAGAATGGTGATGGAAAGAACTGAGAACTGTCAAATGAGAAGCCATGTGAATAGAAGTGCGGTCAAAAGTATGACCGCGCCAAGACCCCACTCCAAGCCAAGTTACCGCCCCTCATCATTTATTGACGCAAGTTTATTTGCTGCTCGATGAGAAAAGGTACTCACTCCGGTTGCCATTCCGCCGCTGCCCTGCTCCTCTTCCTCCCCCGTCACGTCTCGTCCTGTCCTCCCGTCGCAGGCCCGGAGCGCCGTTGTGAACTGGACTCCAATGTGACCTCGTAGAGTTTATCGCTGTACTTGTTTTATTTATCCCTCTGTCCTCTCTTGACTACTTTTCCGCCGCTCCCCTCTGAAACCTCATCGGGTCCCACTGCAAATTTCAATAAATGTCCGTCAAGTCGCAAAAGACCGAACAGGACATGTTAAAACAAAAAAAAAAAGTTGACTCAAAGCTTCATAAAACTTGAGTTCAGATCACACGGACCATATAATTGTTGGCGTTAACGCAGACACGTGGTCGAACCGGGTCAGCTCAGGTCACCGTTGACAGCAATGACACATACTGTACATTTTATGGTTGCACTAGTGCCCCCTTCAGGCCTCTTGGCGATGCACATTGTATGACTTCATATGCAACTAGTGTGTGTGTGGGTGTGGGTGTGGGTGTGTTATGCTCTATCGAAAAGAAAAGAAACGGGGAAAAAAAATGTCCGGGGTGGTCACACTGACCGAGCAGTTAGCTGGCGTGCCTTCCAGTTCTGAGGTTTGGGGTTCAGAATCTCGGCATGCGCTTTCCCGTGCGCCGTTTGCATCTTCTTCCTCTGCTTGTGTGGGTTTTCTCCAGGTCCTTTGGATTTCCCACACCTTTCCCAAAACATGCACAGCAGGTCAATTCAAGACTCTCCATTTTCCATCGGGTCGCTGCGAATGGTCATTTGTGTCCAAGTGCCCGTGCGATTGGCTGGCAACCGGTTGAGGGCGTCTTGTGCCTCTCGCCCAGAGCCAGCTGGGAAGGCTTCCAGTTGCCTGGCGACCCAAATGAGAATGGATGGATGGATGGATGGATGGATGGCAGAGGGATTTTCTCAAATATGGGTGCTTAGGTGTGTCGTATATGTTTCATTTCTCTATGTCAATATACAACCGTGAAAGCAAAACCTTTAAAAATAAAAACAAACAAGTTATTCAGGGGAAAAAAAAAAAAAGGGTGTCATTTTCCAAGTTGGGCAGTTGTGGCTAAGGCAAAGCAGAGCCACTAGATGGCAGCGCACGCAGGCTCATAGCAAGCTTCCACTTGGTCAAAGCACGTCCTGTTAAAATCCGTCGAGGCTCCTTCCAAATAATCTGGCCTGGATTATTTCTCAAATAGAAGAATTCCACAAACACACTAGACTGTAATAGAAAGTTGTTGATACGCCCCGTATGATGTCTACCATTGTTCCCCCCAAGTCCGGCTTCAGATGTGTGATCTGACTGCAGCGAACAACATTGTTGTATTGTGATCATAAGTCATGACGCCAAACCATTGAGCAGTTCTTGATAATCATCCTTTTCTCTCTCTGCATTTGCAGCTTAGATTTGCCTGAGCTGTTGTCGTGCCAACCATGCTTCTCCCAGCCAATGGCTGCAACCATTCCCATGTGGCTGCCTTTTGAAGGGTCCGCCGGCAAGTCCTGAAACAGGCTGGCAAGGTCTGGCCGTCAACCTCGTTGTCCTGTCGTTGGCTGCCGGACGGGACTGAGGCTGAATGGAGACAAAGTCCAAGAAGCGGAATAAATCACCGGTGAAAGATGAGAAAGGGTGAGGAGACAAACGGTGGCCACAACACTAAGTACACTCACACAGTGCACAATTTGAATGCACTCCACAGGGGAAGAATCACCAAATTTGAGGAATCTGTCCCAACGCATCAGTGTTTATTTCTAGGAATGTCTGTTTGTATTATTTTGAAGAGGCAGGTGAGTCGGCTAATTTTCCTGGTGTACAGGACGTTCTGTTTTGTGCATGCACGTGGGCGTGTGTGTGTGTGTCGACTATCAAACCTGGCATGTAAACATCTCCGGAGAGCAAAGATTTCACCGTCGATCTGCCGCAACAGAGCAAAATGGATGGGCGTCATTTTCAATTGATCAAAATGTTTCTCTTACTCACTCGAACAAAACGGCACAAAATTGCAGAACCTGTCGCGGACTATGGTATCGATAATACGGATCTGGGGTTAAATGAGAATCGGGAGAGGCAAACTGAAGGGCGCTAAACGCTGTCTCACGACCATCTGTGCTCTTGCTGTCCCTCCTCCCGCACGTGTTGGCTGGCACGCACGCGCACGCTGCCTCTCGATGCCTCATTGAACAAATTCACTGACTTGAGTTCAGAATGTCAAACAGAACCAGGAGAACTCCTCTTCAGTATCTTGGATATGAGAGAGGAAGAATGATTCGGTCGGTCATATCGTAATTCGTTCCCATCCTTGCTTGAGTTGCTCCGCAGTCCGAGCATCACATGGCAGATGCCGGCTTTGGAACTTTGCGCCGATAACCGTCCGGATTGCCCGTTTCCTCTCTGGGCCGGAGGACACAACGTCCATCGTTCCCCAAAACAATTTCCAATGCGGACTCGTCAGACCACAGCACAGTAGGATTGTGTCATAGGGACTCACTCGCGGCTGCTTTTCTGTGTCACACTCGTGTGCGCTGGCTGCGCAAATTGTGCATTTTTTTCTGAAGAAAAGCCAAAAAAATGAGTATCGACTCTCATTTTCTGGCTTCGCGGCGTCACGTCAGCGCACGCTCTTTGCCTCGGCGGCAATTGGAGAAAGCATTTATTTCACCGCTTGTCCTCCCCGCTAACTCTCGCAGCTGTTTGCAAACGTTCATTTCCTAACGGCGCTATATTAAGAGGTCAATGTCACATCCAATTTGCGGAAGTGCAATCACTGACGCTCTCGTAAATGTTACAGCGCTATGTTGGATCTTTGCAAGCACGTTTTGCATTTCCTTGCTCGACTAAGCCATGAAAAAATTGCCGCCAAATCCCAACTTTTTCAGCAAGCGGGGAAAAAAAAAATCACACTGTCTTCCCAATAACGGGATGGGGAGTGGTTGTGTCACTTTGCCTGCACTGATGATTAAAAAAAAAAAAGGGGGGGGGGGCCTCAAATAGGGGGTGTTTGGTCCTATAAACAAAAGCAGTCCATCATGTCCACATATCTTAAGCTTTGAGCAAGAAAATTGATCATAACATGTTTTTTCTTTGGCAAAAAAAAAAAAAAGGGGGGGGGGGCCTCATATAGGCGGTATTTGCGCGTACATCCGCGAGTATCATGTGGGCACGGGGGGGATTAGAGAGATTAAAAAGTGGCGAGGGCAGCTCAGGATGCCTCGATATGTGACATCAGCAGGGGATTGGTGCTTTGATTGTGCGCATGTGCACGTTTCTCACGGTGTCATTGAGAACGCACGTGTTCTTGGGAGGCCCGCCTCATGCCCCGGACGGACCCTCCCCTCGGCGAACGGTCGTTCTTTTGCGCGTTCCGGATGCTCCAAAAGCGCACGCACTCACACAGAGGCTGTGTGTGTTCTTACCACCTTTATTTTTTTCGGGTGATGCTGTAACTTGAGTTTGAATGGGTAGTGTGTCGACGATTCGCGGTTCAAACGATTCAAAACGTGCAGCGCGCGCACACATATGTTTCTGTATACGCACATATGTAGTGGAAAAAAAAATATATTCATTGATAATATATATCAAATATAATCTGGATATTGCTGCTGTGAAAGTCTTTTTTTTTCCCCCCCGCGAATGCATGCAGGGCGTGAGAAAATAAGAGGGTGAATTTCAAGTTCGGCATGATCGCGCCAATGCCGAAAGAGGTTTATGTGGCATTTCCTGCGCCGCCTGGTTTGATCCGCGATTCTGGCCACTTTGAACCGGCCTTCGTTTTCAACTGGTATCTGCGTCGGTCGGGTTTGGAGTTCACCGGGTTGACTTTTGACAGGGCCTCTTTGAACATGGAACCACATGACTGCCCCTCCTTAGGAAAGAAACGCACATGAAACCACCCCGCATCCAAGCCAGCCTCTCCCTACATGTGACAAAACAACATTATACAACACTTGCTTGCCGCTTGGAGGCACCGTTCCTCATCAATTAAAATAAATGGCAGGGTGTTACTTAACTCAAGCGGGAAAATCACATGAACAGTCCCAGGACGTTTTGGTTCCATTCAAACAATGTTTTTTTTTTGCGGATCGAGTGGCTTACAGTGGAAGCTTCAGTTGCGCACTTAGTTGGTTCCGTGAGCCCTTTTGAAACGTTGATCCATCGAGATAATGAAGCAGTTGAGCTGATCCGGTCATCCGTCCATTTTCTTCTCGTGAAAGGTAGACTAGGGGTTGATATTCTCTCTCTCTCTAGATATATATCAATATATCTAGAGAGAGAGAGAATATCAACGTATAAGGAATATCTTAGTTGGGAAAGGAGTGTGTATTTGAGAGGAAACGCACATCAAACCCACTGGAGAGGCCACCTCAGCTGCTGTTATGTAATTGAATTTGAATTTAGGCTGAAGTGAGTTTGGATCCAGAAAGCCTTTTTTTTTTTTTTAAATGATTCTTTTCTTTATTTATTGAGGGGCAGAGGAGGGGTTAGTCCGGCGCGACAAAGACACCGAAGACAAGCTCAATGATGAAATGAGTTCAATCCAATTTATCTCGCAGCAGCAATGATCGTATCATGAGATGCGGACACAGATTAGCAATTGAGAAGCACAAAGAGGGCATTTGGGAGGAGGAGGGGGAAAAAAAACTAACAAACAAAAAAATCCCCCCAGTAACTTTAAATAAAGACTGGCAGACAGGAAGCGGGTGGATTCTTTTGAAACAGATCAGGATGAAATGAATTATATTTTGATGGTCGAGAATGCCACAAGCTGACACGCACTTACACACAAAAAAAAAAAAAACACTCACAAATACACAGGGGGGGAGGCGGGGGGGCGGGGGGTTGGACCAGAGCAGCCTGAAAGGAGGAAAAGAGAGAATGAAAAAGGGAGGGGGGCGGGGGGAAATAAACATCGTAGTCCTTCTTGCCAGCAGCCAGTCTGATGCAGGCAGACGAACGCTCGGGCTCTCAAAACTTGTCATCCTTAGTTGACAGTCTGTTGAACCTTGGCGAGGTCAACTTCAGCGCGGGGGTAGGGGGGCGTCGCAGGGAGCTTGTTGGAGTTGCGACCTCCATGTTGAGGTGGATCAATGCTGTTTACCAAGCGCTTTGAGGATCTGGACTTCCTGCCCTGACAACTTGACTGCAAACAGCGCTGCCGAGGACTCTGAGAATTAGATTGCCGGGAGGCTGAAAGTGCAAAAAAAATAAATAAAAAAAAAAAGAATTATTATTATTATTCTAATAACAGCGGGAGCAACATGCATATTCTACAGCCATATTGCATCAACAGGTTGGTGTTTTACTACTTTGTGTGTGGGTGTGTACGCGGTCGCCATTCAAAGACCTGTTTTGGGAGTTGTAGCCATTCTCTTGTTTACACCGGTGAAGTCTTTTTGATTTTTTGAAATGAAACAAGTGGGCTTCTCAAACATACGCTTCTCAAGTCACGCATTCGGCATCTGGTGAGAATGTGTGCGTGCGTACAAGGTTTGAAGCCAACTTAGCAGCGGCAATTATTATTTATTTTTTTTCTCTTGTTGTTGTGGTGGGATGTTCGCCATTTTTAAAACCTCAAGGCACGTTGTTTTCTTTGCTCTTGCAGCATTGTGCTCCCGCTTCACGCTGTTGCAACGTATTGCGAGCAGCATGTTTCGGGGCGCTTTTGTCATCCTATTCAGTTTGCCACGAGGCACGAGCGATGACGTTTAATAACGCGAGCCAGACAATTCGTCTCATCACTGATAAAGAGATGAGAAGCTGTGATTTTTTTTTTTTTGGGGACATTTAGTGCGAATGTACAGTGTATGCGAGCAAATGGTTCAACAGTCCAGTTGTCAGTACGGCGACCTGTTCCACTCAAGAGGTTAAATCAACAAAAAGGTCTGCCCGGCCAAGTCCAAGTCATGATGAAAAAAAAAAAAAAAAAAGTTTGACAAGAAATGTCAATGCTACGCTGAGATGGAAGTGTCACACTGGGAAGTTGCTGCAGAAAAACTTGGAGCGAAACAAATGTCAGTCATCAGCAACTTTGCAGCCCCATTGCTCATCTCGTGTCGATCTTTTGAGCTCGAACCCAAAATGTTTTCATTCGAATATGGTACAGCGACAAGAAAGTAGCTGACCGCCGTTTTACGAGACTTTCAGAGGGGAGAGTCTTTTTTTTTCGGATCAACTTCCTGTCACATGCTACCCAACAAAACCTCCATGATTGTGAAATCATTGTGGGGTTGTTTTTTTTTTTTTTTCTCTCCAACTGGTGCAGAAATGACAATTTCGAATTTCAGAACGTGTCACAACTCATTTTTTTGGGGCTGTGTCTGCAGTTTCGTCGGGGTGTTAAAATGAAGAGAAAGGAAAAACCACTTCAACAAAACAGAAGGAAATATGAAGTGCTTAGAAAACAGGAACCTGCACAGGAGAAGATTCTCGAGGAGAGAAGGAAATGGTGTGCGAAGGGGGGGGGGGGTCACCCATAGCTGGCCACGGCAGCAAACAAAGTCCTGTTAGAGTGCAAAAAGGCCAGAAAATTCTGAAATATTGAAATAGATCTAAAGAAAAAAAGAAATACATTATCGGTGCGTCTTCCCGAATATCTTTCCGCTGGAAATATGTGGCGAGATGAGCGACGCTTCGGCCATCTGCTCGCAAGATCTTGGATATGACGGTTGACTCGGCGGAGAGAGAATCGTTGGTGTGATGTCATTGTTGGTCGCAAGCAAATCATGAAACTTGGTGAGCGACCGGTTTTAACCTCCTTGTCTTGTCCCCTGTAAGGTGGCTCGATGTGCCAAAGAGAAAAAGGAAGAACAGCCAGTCTTCGGTGAAGAGCATGTCTGGTAAGGATGATTCACCTTCCAACTCAGCCCATCATCACCAACACAAGGTGTCACGAGTGAAACGGTCACCTCGGATGCTCGGCCTTTCTGATGCGTTCGAGGAGTCTGCTTGGCAAATGAGGTTCGGCGAGCCTCATTACGCTCCAGCTGATTCCCCCGCGGACGCTGAATGGCAACGCAGCTTTGTCCTCGCGATTGTGCGAAGACTCCTCGCGGTTTCCTTTGACGGGCTTTGTCGACTATGAATAAGCTCACAAAGGTAGCGGAGGTCGAAGAGTCCCCTTGAGACCTGTTAATCAGTCTCTGTCGGGACAGACGGGATTCAAATACAGTCAAGTCAAAATTCAAATGGACGCAAGTCGCCGTCTCAAATAGCAGACTCATTTCCCGTCCGTCCGTGTTCCTTGCGCTTGTCTCGGGCAGCGACCCAAACAGAGAAACGCAGACTTGCCTCGTCCCAGCCACTTGAACCTCTTCCCAAGGATTCCAAAACCTTCTTCGACCAACCCGTCCGTCTCTTCGGCCCGATTCCGCGCAGATCGTACGGGCATCAAGCACCAGCGAATCGGCAAAGTTGTCCGGAGTAATAGTATCGTCTTTCGAGTGGACTTGATATTTCATCCCACTCTAGCCACGAAGCATAAAGTTGACTTATCTGCTGATGGTAGAAATTCAGCCAGGCAGACGGTTCATTTATTCCGCGTGAAAATGACGTGATGTCATCTTAAGTCGACGTCTCCGCGGAGATCGAGGAGCGTTGCCTCATCAACGCAAAATATTTCCGCCTCCTCCCTCATTGCTCCTCTGTCGATATATGTTGATATTTACTTCTGAAAGCCTCTGCCATGTGATGATTGATTGATTGATTGATTGATTTGTTTGTTTTTGGTGCACATTCTGCTTTGTGCATGTCACATCACGATCACGGCATTTGTTTTAGAAGTCGCATTTGTCTTTGTATGAGAGTACATCAAAAGGTTGAATTTAACAACAAAATCTGAATTGGGTAGCGTGAACGTCGCTTAAAAATGACATCACAGTTCCGAAGAGCTCAGCCGAACCCATGAAACAGGAGAGCCAGAATGGTCGTCATCCGAGCCCTGCGATGTCCTTTTCAGTCGACAACAAGTGGCAAAATGGCTGCCTCCGGAGTTGGATAAGTGGGGATGGGGGGGGGGGGTCATTGAACGTATTACTGTTTAAAAAAAAAAAAAAAAGTTTTCCTTGATTGCAGCAGAGAACATGTGACCACGATCAAACATGATAGGTTCGAGCAAGGCTGGGGGAACGCTTTCTTCGGGTTGTTCGAAATCAATGAAAAAAAGTCGAATGTTTGAAGCACAGTTTGTCAGTTGTAACAAGGGGACAGATTGTCTTTCCCCGTTGAGACACTGCAACCATTGTGTCGTCGCGCTATTCCAGTCTGCCTTTTAGAAACAACATTCCGAACAGCGTGTTCACTTGTGTCGTGACATGTAAGTCATTATTTCATAATAAGTCATGAGCGAAAGATGAGGTGAAATGCAATTATCTGGCTTGACTGTATTCAAGTGACTGATTTTTATTAAAGATAAAAGCATGTTTTGTGGAAGTCATAAGACGCCAGTCTAATCTTCGGTATAAGCACATCTTATCGATATCTAAATATATACATCTATATCTGCTCAAACATTCATGTCGATCACAGGTGTCAAAGTCAAGGCCCGGGGGCCCGATCTGGCCCGCCAGATCATGTGATGTGGCCCGCGAAAGCAAACCAAACACGTGCTTAAATATGTACCCCAAATTCTCACATGTAATAAATAAGAGCGATACGGCAAGCGTTTTCTTGTCGCCAAACACCTCATGACAGTAACTTATTCTTGACTTCCTAATAGGATGTCGGTCTGAATGGCCCTCCAAGAGAAACGGTCACTAAAATGTGGTTTGACACCCCTGATGTAGATGTATGAAATTGGATTCGGAAATGAAGTCCTATTTTCAAATGAATTGAAAGTCGTCGTGATTTCAAAACACAAAGGCACACTCACGCGATGCCATTTTGATTTCTTTCTGACTGAAGGGATGTTTTTTTTTTTTTTAAACGCTGGAATGCACACTGCACTTGTACTTTGTCCTCGTCCTCCCCATTTGTAATCCGCGCCGGTCCCTCATACCCCCCCGCGCCCGATCGCGATGGTTGGCGGCTCGCCCCGCCTTGACTCGGCATTCGTTGTTCACCTTTCTGAATTCCATCCCATCTTTCTCCTTTAACCTCCTCCTCCTTTCCTATAGCTCTTAGCATCTCTGTTCCAGGGTACATCCCCAGCTACCTGGAGAAGGATGAGCCATGCGTGGTGTGCGGCGACAAGGCGACCGGTTACCACTACCGCTGCATCACCTGCGAGGGGTGCAAGGTGCGGTGAGAGTCTTTCTTTGAGTCTCCCACAGGAACGTGTTGCCAAAATTCCGCCATTTCCATCCGTTATAGCGTCGCTAAGCGACGGCGGGGGAATCCCGCGCCGTACGTGTTGGTCGTAAGCGAGGTCGCGGCGGCGGTTCGCTTCCCGCGGTTCGTCGTCTCGCAGGCCTTTTCGCCATTTTGTGGGGGAAATGTGCTCGTTACAAGTTCGCGTGATCAAGATGTTCGCTGTCAGCAAAATCGGCAAATGGAAAATGAATTGCGTGAAATGTGAACGTTCTCGCGGGCGGAAACGAGGTTCGACGGTAGTGATTTTCTCCGAGCACATCACATGAGAGATTTGCTTCTCGTGAAATCCTGCAATGGTGTTGTAACTGCGCCTGTTTGTTTTTTTTTTTTTTTCCCTCCCAAGTGACTCACAAGCGTTTTTTTGTTTTTGTTTTTTTTTAAAAAAAATTTTATTGCTATTATATCATTATAATCAGTGACACTTATTTTGGTCTAAATGGCCCCTGCAAAACTGCTTTTTTGCTCTTTGCCAGGAAGGAAGCTGTTTTTGCCCCGCAGCTCTTGCTTTGTCTGTGTGACAGTAAGACAAAAAAAAAAAATAACCGGAGAGGAAATGTTTCTTTATTTGAGCCATACATTCTGACTCATGCGTGATACACAGTTAGATGTTATCGCAGAGGGAAAATCTCTTTTTTGTTCTTTCTCCTCTCTCTATTAAATAATAAAACTGCGACATCATGTTATTCATTCTCCTCCTTCCTGTTTCCTGTTTATCTCCTCTTGTCTCGATCCTTTACCGGTGCCTCTTTGTTTCTTTTTTTTTTTGTTGTTTTTTTTTTTTTGCTTGTTTGTTTTGAGCCTTGCAGGGTTTCTTCCGTCGAACCATCCAAAAGAACCTCCACCCGGCGTACTCGTGTAAATACGAAAGCTGCTGCGTCATCGACAAGATCACCCGCAACCAGTGCCAGCTTTGCCGTTTTAAGAAGTGCATCGCTGTCGGCATGGCCATGGACTGTGAGTAAGCTAAAGCCACACGAAAAAAAAAAAAAAAAAAAACGTACTCCTTCGCAATTTCAACAAGGGAAATAGTGAGGGCACACTTCATGAATCGATGAACAACGCAGCTCTTCCACAGCGCATTCCGAATATCCCGAAGCCTCTTTACCAGAACACACGGCCAGTGTACTGCGACACGAACGCGGCGGCGCACGATCGGCAGCCGAGCTGCTTTTAGTTCTCATATGAAACGTTTCAAAGAGACACAGCAGTTAGTTAGCTCTTGTCGCTACCTCACCGGTTACCAAATAGTCACCGAAACGGCGCCGCTCCAAAAGTGAAATTGATCCAGTCAACTCCACCGGCATCCCGACCAAACTGTTTTTCCCCCCCACCCGCCAGTGGTCTTGGACGATTCGAAGCGCGTTGCGAAACGCCGTCTCATTGAGGAGAATCGGGAGAAAAGAAAAAGGGAGGAGTTGGTGCGGACCATGCAGGTGAGGCCGGAACCCGACACCTCCGAGTGGGAGCTGATCAGGATGGCAACCGAGGCCCACCGTCACACCAACGCCCAGGGAGCCAGCTGGAAACAGAAGCGCAAGTTTCTGGTAAGCGCCAAACCACAAAAAAGCCCCCGCCAGCAAGTTCCATATGACAAGCTCGACTTTCAACTGTCGTTATGAACACCCCCGACCCCTCCCCACATCCTTGAACGGTAACCTTAACCAAATGGCTTTTGCGCCTCCAGCCAGATGATATCGGCCAGGGATTGGTGCCCACGTCCGAAGGAGATAAGGTGGACCTGGAAGCCTTCAGCGAATTCACCAAGATCATGACGCCTGCCATCACGCGTGTGGTGGACTTTGCCAAGAAACTGCCCATGTTCTCAGAGGTATAGCTGCTTTTCATTTCTATTCACGTTAAAGACCCCGCGAGGGAGGCGGGCAGGCCGGCGGTGGCAGGAAGGAAGGTGACCGGGAAGCAACAGGCGCGGCCACGGACGCCGGGTCGGCCGCGAGGTCGCAAAAAGCTGGGAAGAATTGAATCGGGGCTCAGAAACACGCGAGGTCAAGAAAAACAAACCAATAAACAAACAAAACTGAAGCGTCCTACGCTGGAGGTCGATTGGAACGTCGACTCGACAGAACTCTGCCAGAATGATCTGGCAGAGTGGAGGCTCTAAATCACGCTTTCGCGGGAGAAGTTGACGAGTGGCCCTGCTGCGGCGCCCGTGAATGTAGGTCAGCTCCACCCCCTGCCTCAGGCCTGAAGATTTCACGGGAACGATCGTTACCCGTAGCGAAACATCGTTTCCCATAAAAAAAATCACCGCCCACGAGTTGGTTGTACGCCATCGAATCTTTCCTGTGTGATCGACGCCGTTTCACTGTGCCTGCATGTGTGTTTGTGGGGTGGGGTGGTGCGAGTGTTTTTCTGCCATTTTACTTTCGTTTTGTTCAGTGGTGGGGAAGAGGGGGAGGCGGAACAGGAAACTTTACGTGCGCATGCGGCTTGCTATTTTAGTCCGCGCGCGAGTGTCTCAGCGCGCGGACGACGGCTTGAGATGGTGGCGAAAAACAAAACACTGAAAGTTCATTGTTATGTTCATTGTTAATGCTTAGTTTTCAATCATTTACCCTTTAAATATTATACTTTGGAGTATCGGAATTCTTGGTGATGAATATCAGTCAAAATTTTTTCAAAAATGGGTTCCCATGGTGAACGTTTACGGAACCCGAACTGAGTTCCCGTGGTTTCCCATTCGGCGATCCAACGGAACCGAAAAACGGTTTGTGTGAATTTCTGAAATCCGCAGGCCTGCTGCTGCGCGACCGCACTGCAGGAAAACAGAAAAAAAAAAAAAAAAAGCTCGACATAAGCGGCCGGCCCACAAGAAAACCTCAATTCAACCCAAAGTGAAAATTAGTCCAGAAGAATAAACAACAGACTGCAATCGTGTTTTAAGCATCTGGAAAGAAACAAAGTACAAAAAGATGCTCAAGTTTGTCTCCTTTTTTTTTTTTTAAGATGATCTGCTAAAAGCTAAGCGAGAGCAATCTTTCACTCGGTGACGTCTTGACAAATCATGGGTGACCGGATCACGCAGTTTTCCACAGAGGATTGAAATGACGATTTCAAATATGGTTGACAGGGCCCTTTTCCCGTTCATTTGGGCAGGTTGCAGCAGATTAAAAAAAAATAATAATAAGGAGGAGTCGCTTTGTTCAGTGGAAGTGCAGCAAGCAGCCTTGTCAATCAGTTTTCCCACAAATGGCATTTTGGGTTTTTTTTTTTTTTTCCACTCTGACAACATTTTCTTTTTGGGATGAACGTCACTGTTGTGTTCACAGCTTCCATGTGAAGACCAGATCATCTTGTTGAAAGGGTGCTGCATGGAGATCATGTCACTCCGTGCCGCCGTGCGCTACGACCCGGACAGCGAGACCCTGACGCTGAACGGCGAGATGGCCGTCAAACGTGAGCAGCTGAAGAACGGCGGCTTGGGCGTGGTGTCGGACGCCATCTTTGATTTAGGCAAAAGCCTCGCCCAGTTTAACTTGGATGACTCTGAGGTGGCGCTGATGCAGGCCGTCCTTCTCATGAGCTCAGGTGAGGAGAACGATTGCAATGAACACGGGTCCGGACTTTTTTTTTTTTGTTTTTTTAGCGACAATGTCAAATGGGGCGGTCGGGGGTTCGAGTGATGAGCGCGTCGACCTCGCAGCGCAGAGGTACCGGGTTCGATTCCAGCTCCGGCCTTCTGCGAGAAAAAAAGCGGATTTGTCAACGAGGGGGCGGGCGGACGGTGGGCATGCGGGGCAAATCCTTTTGGTCCCAGCCAAGGGTTCGGCGATAAGTCCGATTGATTTTTCCATCGCCTTTCAGCTTCAGAATTTGTGAACCTTGTTTTTCAAGTGTCGACAGCTCTGTGGTTTCCAATTCGGGTTGAGGCTCCGGCTCATCTAATATGCGGCGCTACTCCTTGTTTGATTTTGTCAATGGAATGGAACACTCCTCGGCGTTCCAAAGCAGGGAAAATGAGCGTCGCCGCTATGCTTTTATGCAATACTGCGCTTTGTTTTGCGTCCGTTCTCCATCGTGACTTGCAATGTCCGACTCTTTCACGTGTCCCCCCCAAGATCGCTCAGGGCTGACGAGCGTGGAGAAGATCGAGCAGTGCCAAGAGGCTTACCTGCTGGCGTTTGAGCACTACATCAACTACCGCAAGCACAACATTCCTCACTTCTGGCCCAAGCTGTTGATGAAGGTAACAGACCTGCGCATGATCGGAGCGTGCCACGCCAGCCGCTTCCTCCACATGAAGGTGGAGTGTCCCAACGAACTCTTTCCGCCGCTCTTCCTGGAGGTCTTCGAGGACCAGGATGTGTGACTAGAAAATGTGGCGCCCCCCTCACAGGAACACCTAAAATAACTCGGGGTAATGATTTTTTTTTTTTTTTTCCTCTTCTTTGATGGGAACATTTTGGGTTTGGACACCCCCCACCACTTACCACCAGCACTCAACATCACAAGGAGAAAAAAAAAAAAAAAAAACACGTGGCTTCTTTGTCGTGTGAATTTAAAAGGTACAGTGATTCAAACTACCCGCTCAAGTAGAACTATATGCAGACAAAACAAATTCCAACGAGCCTAAAGTCTCCCCACGCGGACACCTTTCACCTCATACGGCGTGTTATTTATTTTTTTCTTTTCGGATCACGATCTCTTCAGACAATCCCACTCCACATGCCTCTTTGCACCTTCCTCATCAGCAGCGGCGGCCCGCCGCACTTCAGCTCGACCCCCATTGAGCCGCTGCTATGACAGTGTTCGCCAACCTACCTCCCTCACATAGTGAGCTCTCTCGATATGTATACACACACACACACACACACACACACACACACACACACACACTCTCCAAAATACAACATAAACGCCTACAATTTTACCTCATAGCTTGTAAAATGTAGTGTCTTATTTATTGGTGGTATACCGAGAGAACACAACCGTTGTAGTCTTCGGTCTCTGCTTGTCCTTTTGTAATGGGTCTTTAGTATCCCGCTTACAGTGCAGTACAATGTACGAGTTACATTTCATGCCTGACATGAGATGCAGCTTACCCCCGCTGGAAGCTTTTCTTTTACATTATGATGGGCCTCGAAGCAAAACTTTCAGTATAATCAGTGGCGGCTGGTGGGACAGTTTTTTTATTGTTGACCTCAACCTCAACTCAACGCTATTTCTAGAGCACTTTCAAGCAAACCACCGCCGGATCCAAAATGCTGTACACGGAGCCACAACAATTCAAAATAATCGATAACGACGACAGGAGAAGGCACAAAAACAGTCCGACTGCAAAGCAAGTCTCATGCTGAGTCAAAAAGCCAGAGAATCAAAATGAGTTTGAAGACGAGTTTTAAAGACAGGGCAGCCAGGGGGCTTGACCGAACGCTCAGCGGGAGGTCATTCCGAAGGGAGGTACCTCGAATAGCGTCTGCCCGGTGCCGAGGAGCTCAGAGAAGTCAGACGGGGCCCAGGCCGTTTTAAGATTGGAAAACAAATCATCGAAACTGCTAAGAAGAACCAGTGAAAGGGATGCCAGAGTAGGAGTGATGCGCTCTCTCCTACGAGTACCAGTCAAGAGGCGAGCAGCAGCATTTTGGAGCGACTGGAGACGTTTCACGGAGTCAAGCGCATTCCACTTAAGACCCTTTGGTCACAGCATCCGATCCAGTGCAGCAAGTGTCCCTCTCCGATGTGATGGAGAACGGAGGTATTCCAGATGCAGAACCACTCAGAAACTGCCTTTTTCAATTCTTCTATTCCAAACAGCAAATCAAAAGGAGTATTGATGAAGATGCCGCTATGGATCTTATTTTGGCGTTGGTCGGGAAGCCAATCGGAAGGGTGAAGCGGTAGAAGGAATGACACTTGGCTGGAGGGAAGCATGGGAGTCGATTGTGGCGTCGCCGGCCAGAGAAAGCGCCAGGAGAAAAATGGGTAGCTTGGGAACAACTCGAAATAGAAGCGCAAGAAACTGGGCTCCGGGCCCGGTTTGTTTCAAAAGCCTGACTTTTCCTCTTCTGCGCAACAGACAAATACTTGCGACATCAAGTCAAGCGGCCTGATGTGAAGAATGCTGTGCAAGCGTCCTCGATAAATTAGGCCAACGCTGAGCCGCCTTCCACCAGTGCCGTCCGTCCCTTTATTCAAGCGAACGCTTTGGAAGCAAAGCGAAGCTGAGTCGGTCATGCATGAAAAATTCCCCAAACAATTCTGGCTCCTCTTCTGCTTTAAAAAAAAAAAAAGATCAGATCAGATTGAGAGAGGTGCTAATTGATCTTCTGTCTTGATGATCTTATCAGCTAAGCTTGCTGCTTGGCATTTTCTAAGTGGCGTCATTTCTTTCTGGAGTCCTTCCGTCATTTTCACGTCATTTGTTGGTGTCGGTACTCTCAACACCCTCGCTCGAAGCCAGCCGTCGCTGATTATATTGAATGGAAGGCCGCGATGCGGAACCAACGGCATCGTATGACCGAAGCGACGCCGCGGGGCTCGGGTCGTCCCCTCAAAACTACAAAGTGACAGTTTGAAAGTATTTTTCAGGTTAAGCGCCACATATTTTCCTCAGGAGTTGCAAACCAGAACCAAAGGAGAGTGAATGTTGTCGCCAGGTCAAAAAACGGAACCCAAATTGAACAGCCCTCTGAAATCTCGCGCGGATGCTGACAAAAATGTCACAGACGCAAAATGGCTTTGAGAAATTCTTGAGCCAGAGATGTCAATTCCCCCTCCCTCGATGTGTCAGTGGGCGGCCTTGGGCCGAGGCAATCCCAGGACGTCGGCGTTGCCACCAATTGGATTCTGTGGAGTTGGAGACGCTGTTCTGTGCAATAAAAGCGGTCTGAAGAAAAAGAAGGATGAGAACGCCTGTCTCAGCCTTCGCAAAGTTTTGGGGGATTCACAGTGGCGCTCGTCTCAATTGCTTTTCTTAGTAATGACGTCACGCAGTCACATGATGTCGGAATGAATTGGACGTGACTTTCCTCGGAAAATCCCTCCGGAATAACCTCATTTCGCAGCTCCTCGTTCCTTGCGAATGGGAACCCAGCAAAGGTTTTCCCGGCTGCGGGGAGTGTCGGACGACGTAACTCAGAGACACTTACACAGAGTTGATCATCCCATATTTGTCACTTCACTTATTCGAGGTGACCTTATTTCTACCGGCATGACCAACAATCACCGAGCTGCACCGCCACAGCACCCGTTCTCTCTCTCTCTCTCTCTCTCTCTCAGTGGGCCGCAAACTCCGCTATCTGCCCGACGACACCAGCCCGAGACTCGCGCCGATGCGATTCGTGTCGTCGATGGCGGGCGGGCGGGCATTGTCGTCGCTCGCCTCGCCACTCAAACGGGTTTCAAATCCCAGCTGACTGATTCTACCTCGCCTCTCATCTCGGTGCGGTTGCCCTTTCATCTGCGGCACGAAAAACAGGCCTGGACAGTCAATCTGCAGACACACACACACACACACACACACACACCTGTCATCTACCTGCAGACACACACACACACACACACACACACACACACACACACACACACACACACACACAGATGCCGACATGTACAGCGACTCTTTCTAAACAGGCCCCGGGATCAACCGTCGGCAGCCAGAGTGGCCCCCAAGTCAATTTGTGGGAGCCAACAGTGACTGTTTGTAGTCAGGCCCCGTTGCGACGTGATCGCAACGTGCGTGACGCTCCCTCGCCCCTTCCTTGCAGCAATTCGAAACAGAAAATGTGCTCAAGGTTCTTCACATTTCCCGAGCGCGCCCCCATCCTCTTTTGCACAATGCCAGTTTTTTTTTTGCAATCGAGCACGGACATTGAGAGCAAAGCGGACCAGAAATGTGTTGACTGGGGCCTTTTTTTTTTTTTTTGGGATGAAACGCCTTTGCGCGGGGTTCACGATGGCAAGAAACGGGACTCCAACAGGAGCCATTTTTGGCCCGGTTGGCTCGAGTCGGCAAACAAGAGCGGCGGGATGAAATGAACAGCCAGTCTGCCGGATTTGCATCTGGGTTCATCCAAAGCAAGTGCAAGGGAAGAGCACTTTTGGGGGCGCGAGACTTTGGCCAAGCCGATAGCAACCTTGCTGCACAAACTGTTTTCTTCTGAGCTCCCCGCTGCTTGTGGCTCCAGAAGAGGCCGCTGACCATTTGCGGTTAAAAAAAAAAAAAAAAAAGAGAAAAAAGAAAAGGCTTCCTGAGCTTTCTCTCCTTTGCAATCACCTGAGATGTTTTTTTTTTTTTTTCTTGTGGCACTAAAGCTACGATGGATGTAATAAGTCAAAGCAACCTTCTTTCATCCCTTCAAATAACCTCTTTCCAACTCCTGTTTGCCTTGAGCAATGTTGGGGGGGAACCCCGCCCCCCCCAAAAAAAAACAAAACAAAGAAACTTCCAAACAGGGACATCTGCGAATTGACAGAATACGAATGAATGAAACAAGAGGTGATGACTGGGGGTGTATCCGTTGAATCGATTGCAATAAATCCGTTCAAGATCGATTGGGTAAAAACAGTTGTTATTTGGAGGTGATGCAACCGTCAATCATGTGAGAGAACGATCTGGATATTTGCAAAATGAGCCCTGTAAAGTTTCTCGAAAGCGTCGCAGCGCTAATCCGGACCATAGCGGGAGACGATTTCACCGTTTCCTCAGCTCTGTCGTGTTCACCGAACAAGAGGCGGTTTTCGCGAAGGCAAATCTTCGATCGAGAGGGGTCGTCCTGTTTCCGTGGTAACGGGCGGCAGCATCCGCAAACGCCTTCACGCCGATCATTGCTCTTTTATCATCACACCTTGCGGCGCGCCGAAGCCCATTTTGGAAGAGGCCCCTCCCTCGCAGAGGCGTGGCCTTTCGAGCGCCACCACGCTTTGTCGCTCCATTGCCCGATATTTGCGAGCGCTCTCACGCGCACGCGCGCAGCAGCAACGGGTTGATCGAGCGGCGCGATTTCCCGGTTGCCGTTTCCAAGGCCTGCCCCCGATCTCTCCTTTTATTTACTGTTAAGCAAAGTCCTGCAGCCAGCGGCGACCGCTTCCGCTTTTGTTCATTTCCAAAACTATCCCCGCACTCGATTTTGAAGCTATCCATGGCGAGCCACCTCCAAGCGTTCACGTAGCGCACCATTCCTGCGATTGGCGATGTCGCGCCGACAACAAAAGTCTTTCCGCGGCTTGTGTTTCGGCCCCTGACCTTCAGATACTTCTCCCACTTTTTTTTTTTTTTTTAACTCAGGATCACGTCCCTGAGCGTCGAGAGCACTCGCGTGTTCCAGTTTAAGGACGGCAAATAATGAGGTTGGGCGTCACCGTCGGCCATTCTTTCTCCAAGCATGGGAAGGAAACGCCCTTCTCCTCCGATAAGCGATCACCAGCACCGCAGAACGCACTGCCTTCAGCCATGATCACATGCACCAGCATAGCAGAGACGGACGGACGGACGGACCACCGACAGTCGGTGGTCGTCTTTGTTCCCGATAAGTTCATCAACGACCTTGCCAGCTGCCGCAAGGCCACATTCAAACCGGGGATGGATCCCCAAAATCCATTGACGCAAGCGTGATTTCGTAGCAAGGCCGGAATGTTTGTTTCTTTTTTGCCCCCCCAAAAAGATCCACGTAAGGACGACGCCGCCGCTCGACGCGACTACTTTGTGCATGCCTTGACAGTACACGGAGTCCTGCACGCTAACTGCTCGTCGTCGTAACTTTCGGCGAGCAAAGATCATACTCGCTTGGCTGTTATATCTCGACCAAGAAGTGTTCTCAGTTTCACCGCCTCGCCCGACGGGACTCATTTGCGGCGTGTTCTTGCATGACGCTCGTGCGAATTTTTTTCTTGTCGAAACGTTAGCTGGAGTCGAACTCTAAGCGCTGCAATTTGAGGTGAAAATAGTCAGGCCTCGAGACCCTCGCGGCATCGTCGGAACTCCGCCGAAGTAGCAGTAGAACGGACCGATTGTATGTGTTTGAGCATGGCTTTCGTAGTGCGCAAAGAGCTTGGAGCTCGTTCGTGTCATCCGTCGCCTCGCGGCGAGATCTTTGTTTGGCGTCTCCTTTGCCACTTTCCGCGGCGACGGCGAAAGGAAACGCAAAGTGTTTTTTGCCGACCGCTGACCGCTGAACTTTCCCCTCGTGTCCGTCATTTTGTATCCTCGTTACGTTATACCTCACGTTGACGATCAATCAAACTGTGAACTTCTCGCCGGGCTATCAAAGCCCGCACACTCATGCGCCCGCTTCAAAACGTCTTTGACTTTATCCAGGGAAAATAAATCTGTTCGTCAACGTCCTCGGCACATTTGTCCTTCCTGCTCAATTGTAATGGCGAGCCCGCCCGTCGTCTTTGGTCACGATTCATCCGAATCATCATCATCATCATCATCGTGCTATCGACGTTAAGCTCCGACGTCCTCGCCGACGCTGGCCCGAAATCATTCGCGCACCGTTTGGCGGAGAAAGATGACCAGGAATCCGTCCACACGCGGTGCGAGAAAGACAGCGGACGCTTTGGGCCTTTCGGATGGCCTTCAACTCGGGTCCGTCTTGCGTCAACGAACGTAGCGCTCTGGACGGCATCTCGGTGTCGTGACGAGACCCTTGCCGTGGGTTCATTGAAAAGCAGCGCCACTGACAGTATCCGCGTCGATTTCGAAAACCTCTCATTCAACAAATGGCACCACTCGGTGCGAGAGGGTCCACGTTCAGGACCCACCCCGCTTTTAGCTCCCGCTCCGATTCCCGGCATGTCATCTGCACCGCGGAACGAAACGTGTTTCATAAGACGCCTCCATGTGTGAATCACAAAGCATCTGTAAAAGATACACGACGACTGTGCCAATGTTTGTGACTCTTAAAAAAATAATAATAATAATTCCTCTGTTCTGTCTCGAAGCGTAAGCGTGACAACGTGAAGCCATTCTTTGACTATTTTGCAATTTCCTTCTCTGAGTCACCCAAGAGAGGACGGCGCCATCGCCCGAGCGGGAGCGCAAACTCCAATAACTCGACGAGGGCCAAAGTTGTGTCCGAAAGGGTCAAAAGAGAAAGTCGTGACCTTCAGTTCCTTCCCGATCCGAGGCCAATCCGTTGTGCCTTGAATAAGAGATTCAGGACGGCAAAGTCTGCACGCGACTGCTCTTGCCGCGATAAGAGGTGTCCGTCCTCTCTTGCTTCTGTTTGGTCCCTTTCACTGTGACTGTTGACGGCGTGTGAGGCGCTTTCCTCCAGGAGAGGCACTCGCCACTTTTGGGCCAAGTGCAAAGTTGAATGTAAAAGCTGAGAGAGCCGATGGTCTCATAGGCCCCCCGGGAGTGATCCAAGGTGTATTTTGATACACGAGTGCTGCTTGTGCGTTTTTCATGGGCACCGTTCTTTTTGTCTGTCTCTCTCTCTTTTTTTTGTTTTTTTTTTTTTCTTTTCAGTGACAAATCAGTGTGGCACAATCAAAGAATGGCTTCTGAAAAGCTATTTGTGTTTGTGGCTCTGTGATCTCTATTTTCAGCATTATTAAAAAACAAACCCAAAAAATGGCTGTCCATGCGCATTCCTTGCTTTTTTGTTTGTTGACTTTCACACCGTTGTGCTTCTGTTGTGGATTTTTTTGTTTGTTTGTTTGTTGTGACTCTGGTTGATTGGAGTTTTCAGCACTGTGTGACGGTTGTGGGCTCAAGAAGCAGGCTGTACAGAACCAAATGTTGTATGAACAAAAACATTCTCTTTGCCGTACTGGAAAAACGGAATAACGCAAACAAAGTCCTGAAAAAGCCCAATCAACCAAAGTAAGAACGAAAAAAAAAACCAAAGCCATGACACAAGCACGCCCATCCGACCCCGAGTGGTCGGCGTGGCGCTCCTTTGAACGGAAAAGAGCTCGTGACGTGATGACCGACGGGTGCGACGCCGGAGGGGAAGCCCTCCATTGCCACCTGTTGGTCACAACCGGAACACCATCCAAACAAAAACAGATTCATGACCGTGTGTGGACTGAAAATGGTGATGTGCTTTGTGTCAAGATTGAGGCCGTTTTTAGTGGAGCGCCAAGCTGGTACTCGATTGTCGCTCCACAAGTCGCCATGTGGCGGAAGCGCATTTTTGCTGGCCTGGATCGGGGCGTGCGTGGTGGCAATTGGAACATTTCAGCTTGGCCTGCTCTTGTGTTTTGTCATTTTTCGTAGGCTTCAATTCCAATCTCGTTGGTACCTTCAAATGGCGAAGCGTGTGCACTGACACGCAACTTTTTTTATCTTTTTTTTTTTTTTTTCCTCTCACGTAAAATCTGTCCGACTGTGTACGCATTACTCGGGCACATTCAGTGAGCGATGTTTCTTTGAAGGTTAGGCTTCATCTGAATGTTCAATGTGATTTGAAATGTAGTCCTTGGCTGTCTGCGCTGCTTGACCTCTCCCGGGGCATCAAAATACTGTCCAGTTTGTGCTGTCGACTTGACCCGTTGATGCGAATCTCCTGGCTAGTTTGAGCCTTTGCTCTTGTTTTTGGTGAGACACGAACCGTCACTTTTTATTTCGGTGTGCTTTGGGAATCTCTTTCTTCATGTTCTTGCCTCGTTCTCGTTAGATCAAAGCTGTTTTGCTGATGGTTCAGATAGTGGAATGCAAAACCCGCTATTAGCAAAGCCACAAATAAATGTTGCGTGCAAGAGAGGCGGGTGGAGGCGGCGTAGGTAGCCCCGGGCATCCAAACCTGGTTTCCCCCCGTCAATGATTGCATTTCATCGGGGGCAGCGATTTGCCAACGAGTCCGAGGCAGACGCAAGCGTTACGACCCGCGGGCTGCGGCGCGACGGGATTGTTTGGATTGGGCGGACTCGGGGAGACATCGCTTTCCCTCCCATTCGAGTGGCCGCTTTCCCTGCGGCGCGCCCGACGACCTCTCGCCGCGCGCTCGATCGTATCCGATTCGAGCTTGCAATTCTCATGGCGTCGACGACGCCCACCAAAATCGTTTAAGGGGGGAAAAAAAAAACAGCAGGTTCAACGGTCATCCACCATGATGGTGTAAAATCACGAGAGGCTTAAGATCAACGCGCTTCTTATTGGATTCATTCCATGTGTTGTTGGAAAAAAAAACAAAAAAAAAAAACAGCTTTGAATCTGTCGACATCAGTAAGAAAAAGAACGGAATGTACACCGCAAAGTCAGGCGTGTTAAGGCTCGATTCGAAAGAGGCTCACCTCCCCTTCAAATGTCAGAATCTGAACGCACGTCCCCGTCGAAGCACATCATCACAATTCATCACAAGTACATCATTTGGGGTTTTTTTTTTTCAGTTTTGCACGACAACTTTGTTTTCAAGTTGACACACGAGCTGCACTCATTTGAGATTTGCTCAAATGTTCCACCGCTGTCGCGCGTGGATCAAGGGCCCGCGTCATTTGTCTCGCTCGCAAAGAGATGCCGCTGCTGGCCAAGCAAACAGCTGCTTTTTTTTTATTTTTTTTAAAAAGCAAACATCTGCCGCTCGCCGGATCAAATGGAAACCCCGCAAAGCGGGTCGAAATAAAGACGGTCAAGGACACCTCTGAACGGTGATGTCGGCTTAGTAAGTTTCCACGTCGGGCGGCGTTTCCATGACAACGCCAAAGACACTATTCTCCCCGCTTCCAAAGCGGTTAATAAGTGACATGAGAGTGAAGCCAGCCGGTCAAATGTGGCTCGTCGTCCATGCTTCTGGGCTCTCACCTTCTCCCGGCTTGCTCCCGCGTCCCCAAAAGGTGCGTCGGGTTCATCTAAGAGTCAATAGTCTCTACCGGGGGGGTGTCCAAACTTTTTCGTCGGAGGGCCGCATACAAGAAAAAAAAGCAATTCCGGATCGGTTGTATTGGCGCGTTCATTTCCTCAGCTTTCTCTTCAAGGCCAATCGTTGAGGATTTTTTTTTTTTGGGGGGGGACGGGATGGGCAACAGCACTTGACAGCAGCCGAATCCCATCTCCACATTCAGGAGCCCCCCCCCCCAAAAAAAACGTCATCAGGTGACCATTTTTCACTTGCTCGAGGACGTGACGTCTTCCTGAATCCGCCAGAGAGCACAAAAGTGGACGAAACTACTTGTGCCTCTAAAATGGAATGATCAGTGTTTTGAAGATGAACCGCGTTGCAGCCTCCCCTGTCACTCTGCCCGACTTCACCGTTTTGATCGAACCTCGCGGCCCATGTCAAATGTCACGCCGTATTTCTTTCTTTCTTTTCGTAATGTCCCGGGCCGCAAATGGCCCCCGGGCGGCCGTTTGGACACCTTCGTTTGAGTCTATGTTGTAGGTGTGAACCGGTACCGTGTCATATTGTGTCAACACATTTCCATGTGCTGAACGACACCTCGACGGCATGATTTGAATATCTGCGCTAAGAAGGGGATGACGTGTTTTTTCGGGGAGAAGTCGGAAAATGTTTCATCCGCCCTTCAAGTGGAAGGGAGGCGACGGCTGCAATCTCGAGCCGGAGCAGTCAGTCGGCAGGCTCCGTTCTGGCGATGATGAGGGAGGCTCACGCGGCTGCTTTGGAGGCTGTTGTGGGGGTGATGATGTAACAGTGGGCAGTTTTAGCTTCCACCAATCCAGTCTTTGACTGTCACACACACCTCCCCAAACCCGCCTCCCTCGGAAGCCCACCCAAAAACATTCGGGGGCGCAGCTGTTGCAGAGCAGACTCGCTGTCACGGAATCTTCTTGGCGTACGTTTGCTTTGTTCCATCCGGAGCCTTGGACGGCGCCTGCGCACGATGGGCGGCGGGGCAGCGCGGTGAATTTGCTTCCGTTACCCGACCGTCATCGTGAACGATCCATGGGCCGCTCCGCAATAGGATAGCGAGCAAGTCCGGCACGAACCCTGCCCCTGGTCCAAAATCTTTCCCGTGACCTGAATGTGGATGAGCCGTCGAGAAAACGGGCGCCCGATAGATGATGTCACCCAAGCTTGCCGTTGCCCCCGATGTGTGCTTGCGCTATCCACAGGTTCTGTTTTTCGTCTTTTTAAAAAGAGTCTGTCGACCGTCGCGTTCCGACTTCATCTCTGAAAACATTCGGGCTGTCCGAATGGTCAACTTTGCCGATTCGTAGTCTCGGCCAGGCCGACCTTGGACCGGGAGCCAGCCTCCCTTTTAGAAGATGTGAGAGACAATGTCGGCCTTCGCAGCCTGCCAGGTTTGCTTCCGTTTACCAGACGTGTTTTCAGATGTACAACGTACGAGTCGTCAGTTCAGGATTAGTTCACACGAGGGACCCGGATGACAAGAACAGTCGGAGACAAAAAAAAAAAAAAAAGACAAATGTGATCCGAACAAAAAGAGAATCGCGACACCTCCTAATGACGGTTGAGTATTTTGCATTTCACAGGTCAGGATACGAGCACTCCACCGCCTGAGCCGTGGCGGCCCGCCAGGCTTGGATTTGAGACTTCCTCGTTTGTTTGTCTGGCGGGGCAAAGGTGTCGGTCGCTCGACTGACATCGGTCTGGTCTGCTCCTGAGTGGCAGCCCTCAGCGGGTGCTGCCTTTCCTCGTCCTGCAGTTTGCCGGAACGGCGTTCTCCCTGCTCGACCGCCTCCGGTGCCCCCCCCTGTTTGGACCTCACGGCCAGCTTGAGACACTCTTGGCTCCTTGGATTCACCCTCCCTTGCTCTGGTAACTATGCGCTCCTTGCTAAGGCGAGAGTGAGCTTGCCTTCTCGCCGCGGCGGCTACCCGCGAGGTCGGTAAAACGCGGGCACCCGAGGTATCGGTCCCGATGACAAACCAAAATAAATACATCGTGTCAGCAAAAAAAAAAAACAAAATAACGAGCCGAACGTGGCTCAATATAAGTTCAAAAAGCTGCGTTTCTTCTTCAGCCAATGTGATGTCTTCATCAATCAGCCCAAGGGCACAAAGTGGAAGAAACTATTTTTGCCTCTAAAATGGAATGATCTTTGGTCACGAGATACATCAATTAGTCTTTTGATCTTAAATGGTTTCTTTGCATCTTCGAATAGAGAGAAAAGTTTGACAGTACATGAACAAAGGTATTTTAGACACGTCGCGGGCGATCTTAAATGGTTTCTTTGCATCTTCGAATAGAGACAAAAGTTTGACAGTACATGAACAAATGTATTTTGGACACGTCGCGGGCCATGATTGCGCGTCTGGAAGAAAAGAAGTGCCACCGCTGGCATATTCAAGAGCTAGTTGCAGGTCAAATTGCCAGCATGAAAGATCAAAGGACGGTGCAAGGGGGTCCCGGCATCCGCGGGATCAAACCTGTGCTGCGAATACTCCCAAAACAGAAGAAGTCGTTGCATCCTGTGAGTGCGCCGGCTTTGCGTTCAATGAAACGGGCTCAGATTGAACATTTGTGAGGAATTCAGATGAGATGTACGCTCAACTTTGTGTGACGTTTTTTTTTTTTTTTTTTTTGTTTTTTGTCAAGCAAAGTGGGCTCAATAAAGGTCAGGGAAAGGCGACACGTTTGTTTGAAATGCAAGAAGGCTGAAATTGAGCTCTAAAATTAAATGAAAACGACGGAGTCGTTGGACATGAAACGCGCGCCGGGTTGAAGTATTGACGACGTCGCCAGTCACTGCAATCATCCGCGCCTGAACAACACGAGCCGGCCCCTCCCCCCCGCCGCTCCATTCACGCAGGCGGACTCTGTTACGTAAGCGCGTTAACCTGCACTCCTCACAGACGTGTCCTCGTATCAACTCCCGACGTCGACAGCAGGATACAAAGCGAGCCACAATCAGAAGGGCGGACCGACCGCGTGTAATCAGAAAACAAAAGACACCGACACGCTAAACAGAGTGAAACGGAAAGAAAACACATCAAGCGGGAGAAATGCCCAAATCGCCGAGCTCCAAATCCCAACCTGCGGAAAGTACGCACACGCACACGCATGCACACGCCCTGGTTTGCGGCCCTGTAGGGATTTCATTTCCTGGAACTTTTGGAACCTGCGCTAGCCGCCTCCTCTCGCTCGCTACAACACCCTGAAAGAGGGCGTGCGAACGTATGCCACTTTCAATTCCCACAGCGTGAGCAGGACGGAGCGGCAAGATCAGATCGACATCCGTTTGAAATAGAGCCCCCCCCCGAGATCAACTTCGACATCTCGGCAAATGGTAAATAAATAAATCTCGGCTTGGCACGGACATCCGATCAGTTTTCGGATCCTCTCTCGCAGGGTGGAATGGTTTCGGTACAGATGCAAATAAGCACAACGCGGAATAATCCCGGGATATAATCCTTGTTCTGGGTTGTGAGCACCGCGGGAGATTAAACAACATGCAACAACACTCGGGCCAAATTTGTCCTTTGGCGCGGCGTTCCCCAACCACCGCTTGGTGGCCCGGTGCGGGGCCTCGGCCCATTTGGGACCGAGCTGCACGGAGACAGAACTGCGAGCTCCGGCGGGCGTGGCTTAAATGCGCGCGACTCTCTAGCCGATTGGAGGTCCCCTTTTGATATTACTTTGCGAGTTGAAATGAACAGAATCCGCCAATCGGTGAAAGAAGACGCGGGGAACGGAAAGTAAGAGCGACAAATTGAGCCGACGTACGGCTCAAGCCGCAGCTGATGGGCAGCCGATGACAAGTTCCTCCCCAAGACAAGACGAGAAACCCGTTGAATTATTTGATCAAGCGGAACATTGGCAGTTTAGTCTGGAATAACTTGCCAGCGGCCACCAGAAGAAAACCGTCACGCTTGCAAGTGGCAACGACGCTCACGGCGTACGTCAAACCGTCACTTCCAAATTGATTTTGTTTTTGTTGAAAGGCGCGTTTATTTCTCCCGATTGGTCCATTTCTTCGTCGTTGACTGTTTTCTTTGATTTTATTCGACATTTGTTGTCCGGTAGAATAAGACTTGCGTGAAAGGAATGAAAAGCAATTCGACGTTCATGAAACGTTTCATGACTCCATCATGATCTTTGTCGTCAGCACCGGTGCGATAAAACCGGCGATTTAAAAATCAAAAACTGGTTGCCGGTCCGCGAACGGCATTGACTTGTCTCGACCTTTCGGTGCATGACACAAAAGAGGCTGGGCGCCGCTGCTCGAGTGGAATCATGAAAGACTTTCCACCATCTGCAGGACCGCCTCACAATCAAGAGGTGCTTGGTTTCTTTCTCCTTTTCTGAGTGAGTGCGCACGTTTCCGCGCCACTTTTTATTCTGGAGTGCCCGTGAAGTACATCGGGAGCTGCCGGGAGCTCGCAAGTGTCAGTGGCTCAGATGGCATGAAATCGATCACCGCCAGCTCTCCCGGTTTGACGCTCTTGACTTGCCCCCCCCCCCCCGTCAACGGTGAATGAAGTCAAGAAAAAAAAAAAAGTGACGTTTTGAGTGACGATTCATGCCAGAAATAAAGTTGGACGTGGTCGTTTTTTCAGGACTGTTTACTGGAAAGTTACCGGAAATGAAAGCATTCGAGAAGACTAGCACCATTCTGGGCAAAAGCAAACGGAACTACCTGTTAGGGGAAAAAAAAAAAACCAAAAAAAAAAAAATACGGAAATTTTCAGAATCCGTATGATTTGTGCGATATGGCCATATACGTAAGATTCACCACAAAATCCATATGAACGACGGCTAAACCGTATGAGTTGACAGGTATGAAAATGGATGGAGGCAAACTCGATGCGGGATTTCCCACTTTTCATCAATCACACTGGCTGGCAAAGACTTTTCATCCAGAAACATGGTCACGGCGCTCAGGGTGTTCTGTTTCGGTTCTGTTTGGTTCCGTTTGGTTTTGTTCCCTCACGTGCCCTTTTTTGTCACCACCTGTCGTCGTCATCGGTGTCCCCTTGCGGTGAAGCAATCAGCCGTGTGTCTTGTCCAGGTGTTTCTCGTCGTCTCGTCACTTTGCTCGCATTGACTTCTGTCAGTCTTTGTTGGATCATTGCGAGCGTGAGTATACGCGCGCTCCTGTCACGTTGTGTTTCCTGTCCGTCATCGTTTTGTTTGCTACTTTGGTTCCTTGTGATTTCCGGGCATTTGTTTGAGTACTCCCACTTTGTGGTTTTCCATTGCACTCCTCAACTCAACTCAACTGTATTTCTCGAGCACTTTCAAACAGCCATCGCTACATACAAAGTGCTGTACATGGAGCAATTTAACATATACAACAAACAGTAAGGCAAATCGGGAATAAAGACGGTAGAAAGCACCGAACAGCAAAGCCAAGAACAAATTGAAGTCATGCTGAGTCAAATGCCAAAGAACACAAGTGAGTTTTGAGGCGGGTTTCGAAGATGGGCAGCGAGGAGGCTTGCCGAATGTTCACTGGGAGGTCATTCCAGAGAGAGGGACCAGCAACAGAAAAAGGCTCGGTGCGTGTGGATTTTTGTTCGAGACGTTTTGCTCAATCCACCCACGCTCCTCCCTGCTTTTTGGGTTCCCACTCCATCATCCATGCAAATCGGGACACATGGGACACGTTGTTCTATTCTGCTCCTCCGATTCACAGGGGCAGAACGGGAGGGGGGCGTGGGGGTGAAAAGTGGGCCGTTTGTGCCCTCTCCAGGAGTAGAAACGCAATAACGAGTTGCTTCACTGTTTCATTCGGACTGACGGTGCATGCCATTTTTTTTGTCTGTCGTTGACAAAGACACACACACACACACACACACACAGACAGAGCACAATAGGACTTTTGACCATGACGTCATCGGTACTTCCTGGTGGTCAGAACTGTGGCATTCTCCAATGGCTTGTAAACAAGTCCGGGTTCTCTTTTGGCGCTTTTGCTGACACGGCACCGTTGTGGGTTCAACTGTTTTCAAACAATAACTCCGTTTCAAAGGCGTCTACCAAGGGTACATTCAAAAATTATTTCAGAGAGAGAGACAGAGAGTTCACCCACTGTATCCCTCATTGTTTTTGTCGTTTGTTTTTTTTTGTTTTTTTTTTTTGCAACTGCCAATACTTTACGGCGGGCCGCATAGCACAAAAAAACTCGGCCAAATTATCCTTGCAGTTTTATCCTCGTTGGTCGGTTTTTGTTGAGCACTTCCTGCAGTTATCAACGTGATCAATGAGGATAATAAATGACAATTTCGTTGCTGAAATTTCTGTTTCGGTCTGGGATTGCTTTCTTGAAATCATACATTGAAATGCAGATCGGGAATAGGCAAGAGGTGACAGAAATAGCAAATCAAATAAGGACGGTTTCCACCGTGTTCTTGAGCTTAGAATCGAGCAGGGGTGTCCAAAAGTGCAGTGCTGCGTGGACACAAGTGTGCAGTGCCTGTGCCGCGTGTGGCGCCCAAGTCAACCTGTGCTTTCCTCACATTCCTCGACAGAGCTCTTGAAAGTACGGAGCAAAAGAAATACCGTGTTGTGATGCACACTTCTTTTTTTTCTGCTTCATTTGTTCGAGGACGTTCCCCGGGGGGCCAGCCGCTGGTTCAGTCGGCACAGTTGGCGAAGGAAGCCGTCATTCGGTGCGATCTCTCTTCGCTGTCTCACTGTCGCCAGAGCGCCGTGGACGTCCATGTTCCGGCGAAGCATCAGGTAGGCGATGACTAAGGCGGGGGAGCGGCTGTAGCCTTCCCTGCAATGCACATACACTCGACCTGAAAGAGCCCAGAAATATAGCGAGCGTTTGTGTTTTGCACCGCAAGGATGCAACGGGAAAGCAATAGTTGCTCCTTGCTCGGTTTTGGATCGTTTTTATTGCATTTTTGTCAAGGCCTGCCAGCATTCATGAAACTGTTCTCTTCAAAGTACGGCGAAAAAAAAAACAACATGAAAAAGTGATTTGAAATTGGACCGGCGTATTGGCGCCAATGTCAAGTCCAGCCTCCCCTTTCACTAATTGGGGCCTTTGTCACATCCCAGCTGGATGACTGTCATGCGCTTGACTTTGGAGTCAGGCCATCCTCCATGAAGCGTCTCCAGTTGGTCCAAAATGCCACTAAAAGAGGGAGCACATCACTCCGACTGTGGCGTCCCTTCACCGGCTCATGTTGTAGTTCTTTTCAAGGTTCCATTGTTGGTTTTCAAATCTTGAAATGGCCTGGCCCCACTTTAGCTCTCTCCACCAGACCTGAGGCACGTGCTCGGTGCCTCAGGTCTGGCGGCCCAGACACCGGCAGAGGTACCGAGAACCAAGCGGAGGCTCAGAGAGAATGGAGCCTTTTCCATTGCCGCTCGCTCTCTTTGGAAGGACCTCCCGCTGCACGTTAGGTAATTTGTCGCTAGCCTTTCGGCCTTTTGCTCCGGGATTTTATTTTCATGAACAACACAAGGAGCTGGAGAGTAATCTGTGTTGTTGACTGGCACTCTCCCGTGCCTCATCCCCTTCCCCTCTCCTTTTAATCGCGAGTGACACAAAGAGGACCAACAGTGAGAGTCAAAAGCATTTTTATTGTTCCATGCGACCTTACAAACATCGTGCCAATTGAGTTGAGTGGTACATTACACAAAGCATGTGGCGTGATGTCAAAAGATCATGAACAAACTCATCAAGCAAAGCATTGCATCTTTCGGAGCTGCTAATCGCACAGGACACAAACTCCGGGCTAATACAACAAAATCATACAGTGCGCAGATGCCCCCCACCGCCACCCGCAAAAAAAGTCCAATCGGCGAAAGCTGAATGTTGTTGTTTTCCAAAAATGCATGTTTCTCCGTCGCTTTGCCGCATTTCTCAGATCAGAATTGAAATTTGCAAAACAAGAAATGCACGCCCCCCCCCGACCCAAAATAAATCTTCCAAATAGCAAAACACAATGGTGTCACCCTGCGAAAGCAGATTTCTTTCTCCAAATTCTGAGTACATGGCTCAAAAGCAAACATTTGTGTCACTGAACACGTCAGTTCCATCAGAACAAATCCGACAAGAGTCAGATTGCTCTGGTGGAACCGCCGCTGAAGTTTCCATCTTCAATTCAGTATTCAAAAATGATACCTTTCGTGGATGTGGGGCACAAGGATGTGACAGTTGAACAAATGGTCCTGAGAAATCCTCTCCCAGTCCGACAAATGTATGCAAGCCAGTGAGAAAACGTGCAACCTATTGCATCCTGCCACATCGGAGATCCTTGATGACTCAAAGTTAGCGAGCATTCAACGGAAACCGATTTGAATAGGAAAATCAGATTTGATGAAAAAAAGAATCTGAGCGCATGGAAGAGAACCACTCCCCTTTGAAATTGACCGTCCTTGATTCCAATCACAGCGCAGGTGTTGAAATTCGCGTGGAATCGTCTTTCATTGGAGAGATGCACACCGAGATAAAAAAGTTGGATCCCAAGAGGCGGGGAAGATTTTAATGTTTGGCTGAAACCAAAAGATGATCGAGTCATGTTTTCACAGAAGAACTTTGGATCTTTCCACGCGCGACCTACTTGACTTATTTTCCCTGAGAGCGTTTGCTGAGCATTGACAGCAAACTGAAAAGAAGCCACAAGTAACACGCTAAGCAAATTGCAAAAAACAAAATGGCGCCGAGTGCCAATCGCTTCAAAGGCTGTTTGAAAACACCGGGATGAAAAACCGGAGGCACCGGAGGAAAATGGCTTGGGCGCGCTAAAACGACAGATGAGCATAATTGGACTTGTTATAAACGGCGAAACCTGGGTAGAGTTCTTGGTCGAAAGCAATTTCAAAAGTGAAGACGTGATTCAGCTTGTTTCCGGAGACGCCGTAGACAGACAGAGTGCCTGCGGCGTAGTCCAGAAACATGCCGACCTTTTGCGCGCCACTTAGGGAATATGACTTCACCGGAATATTACCGAGCCCCATCGCGATTTGTATTTGAAATTGACCGTTGACGTGCATTCCCCAAGAAGAGTTGAGGTTAGTGAAATGGTGCAGGAAGAAACCTTGGTTCTTTCTCGGGGTTGTCGAGTACGCGGCCGCCACGACGACGTGACCCCTCCACTCCACCTCCCAATAGTGACGACCGCTTAGCGCCTCTTTGCAAAGAACTTGAGGGTGATCGACAAACCTCTCCGTGCTGGACGGATACGACCGGGCGCTGCCGTAGGTCACCTTCTGATTCTCCTCCGACAGCGTGAGATTTTTGTTGACGGTGTTGTCATCCAAGGTGAGCTCCGTGGCATCTGGGAGAACGGCAACAACGCTTTCAGACGACGCTTGGCGCGGCACGAAAGGAAAAACAAAAGGCAACTTACACCAGATGAGGTGGTTTCTGTCCGTGATGGTCTCGACCGGCGGGACGGCGGGCACCGTGAATTTGTCGCTGACCAGAAGGCCGTCTTGGTAGTGGTAGATGGAAGATCCCTTGTATTTGCTATTCGGCATAGCGGTGATGAGGAACTTGACGCTAGCGCTACGCCGCAGAGGTCTGGCGTATTTCAGGAAGGTCCGGGCGTTTTCTCTCAGTTGCACGACGACCTCGTTGGAGAAGGACTGGTACTCGTTTTGGGTTCCGCCCAGCGCGGACGTGTCCAAGTACTTGGCCATGCTATCCAGGCAGGGGTCGTTGCTGTCCAAGTCGGTGAAAACGTAGCAGAGAACATTTGAGACGCCGGCGGAGAGGACCACTCGATCCAGCTCGGACTTGGTGCGCACCACGTAAGCGTTGGAGTTCTCCGTCATCATGTCGACGCAGGACCGGATCACGTTGATGTCCCGCTCTTTGTTCTCCAACCACCTGTTGAGGTGCTCGCGGCGGAACGGAGATCGCGCTCCCTCGTCAAAGACCTTTGCCAGGGCGCTCTCGTCTTCTTTGCCCTCGCGGATGGAAGGGAGCTTGCTGGACAGCGCCAGTTGGAGCGAAGCTTTGTAGAAGGAGCAAAGTTTCTGGAAGCTGGCGATGTTTTTGCGGATGATGGGAAAGTCTTGGGCCACGCTACTATACAAACTGTCGTTGCATCTCATTTTCACTTCGTTTTCATCTTCCATCGCCTGCTGGATTTTCCTCGACAGCGCGACGCTGAGGTCCTGGATCAGCGTGGCGGCTTTGTCGTGCAGCAAACTCAGAGGGTAGAGCCAGACGGCCAGAGGAGCGTTGTTGTTCATGTCTGCCAAGAGCGTGGGGAGCTCGCAGTAGGTCTCCACCGCTTGGACAAAGGTGGCGGGGTTTTTCTCCAGGATGAGGTCTCCGAAGAAGGTGCAGGTGAACTTGTTGGTCAGGTTCTTCTCCTCTTCGGACAGATGGATTTTGGCACTTCCCTCGATCTTGAAGGTCGGAATCTTCTTGATCACAGCCTGCATGCTACCCTGGAGATCTTGAACGCTGCTGGCCTCCACCTTCTCGCTGTCAAAGACAAAGACGGCGTTGGCCCCGTACAGGATGCCCGTGACCAAATGGGTGGCCCTGCCCTTCTCGATGATTTGCTTTTGCTGGCTGGTCAGTGGCCCGAGAGCGGGAAGAGACAGCTGCTTGAAGGTGGTGGTGGCTTTGTACTGGAAGGTCACCCTGCTCTGGTTCTTGAATTTCTTCTGGTCGTTCAGGTACTTGGCGGACCCGCCGACTTCAACCAAGCCGCCCATGAAACTCATGTTCAGAGAGGCTTCCACGTCCAACAGGGAAGACCTGGATTCCATGGTGTCCGAGGCGGTAATCTTGAAGGAACTGCTTTTCTGAGTGCTCGTGCTGGTCTGGTTATCGAGCGCATCTTTGTCCCACAGAGTGAAACCTGCAGGGACGGACGCGCCACCGCAAGTGAGATCCTTTCGACCGCCGCAATGAACGGGACAAGCGCGCGCATCCGGTCCTACCTGGCATGAGCTCGTCTTTGCAGGCGTTGTAGAGCATCCCCAAGGTGAAGGGCTGACCCAGGGCAGACAGTTTCAAGGTCTCTGACATGCTGGCAGGTACGAAGGGTAGCTGACGTGCAAAAAGGAAAACGGCGCTTGGTGTTAACGGCGACGCCGCGCATCCGTCTATCGCCGGCGTTCGCTCCGCTGCACTGCGCGCTCGACTCGCCACTCGTATCGCTACTACTCACCTGGAGGAGGTTGTGATGTTCAGCCGGGCTCTTGCGAGTTGCTTCTGTGGTCTTCCAACCGGAGAATGCACCATCATCGGGGAACTCGCCGCCAATTTATCGTGATCGTTGGCTGCTCATTTGCATGCCTGTCTTTTCATCTTGACTTCGATTAGTCAAATGACATATTTAACTGTCAAATCGCCTCACCTGTCAGTCGTAATGACAGAAGTGGCCGATTCATCCTGTCTCACAACATTTTGAGCTCTGGCGGTCAAGTCAGGAAACCTGCGGCCGCTGTCTTTCGACACGCAAAGAATCATGAGTGTTTTTATGGTCATCCGGGCGGGCACCGGCATGTTGCTTTCCTTTCCGATCACTGTCCCACATCGGATGATCCGCGCTCGGGTGAAAGGCGACGTTCTCAAGCCAGTTGTGCCTGTGACATCTCCAATCCCCAGCACCTTTGCCTCCTTTTGGTGTTCCTTTGAGTTTTAGGAGGTTTGGACGGTTTCATGTCCGCATTATGTTTTCTCTCCTCGGTCAACAGGCCTGACCTCAGATCTTCAGATACATATTTGGTTCGCTTCCTCTTTGCTCCCCTGCTGGAGTGGAGCAAAGCCGTTTTCTGTTTTCTATTCACAAAGCGAAGGATCATCAATTGGAGTTTTTCCTCAGGAGAGACAGCCTTTCAATTCAGGATCCATCCAGCCGCAGGGCCTGCGTCCGGTTTTGACAGGGAGGGGTGAAGCTTGTCACCTGAGGCTTGAAGTGACATGAGCAAAATTTTCCTTGATGGAAATGGGTACATTTCAAGTCAATGCAAAACTCAGTCGATTTGTTTATTTTTTTTTCACATTTTTGTCTGAGTGAACTCAATTCATGATGGAATTTGAATGTGAACTTTTCAAGAACCCGGTTTCATTCTTCAATGTTGCTCTGCTCGCACGCAAATGCGTGAGGGACCTTGTGAACAGGGACGGGCTGGCAGTTGAGAAAAACGGGACAACTCCCAAACAACCTGTCCATTTTTCAATCGGCCTTACTTCCGACATGTACGTTTCAGTACACACAGTCATCTTGGAACAAAACGTGATTCCAGACGACTGTTCAACAAATGCATGATTACTGATCATATCGGGTCGCCTTGATGACATCAACAAAGTCGGGCATGTTTCTTTGAAACCCCTTCATTGAAACCGTCCAGATGAGTCAGAAAATACAACAGCTGTTTCGTGAAGCAAATTTCAAGCTTAATTTTCCCAGAACTACCGTGTTGTATCTTTTTTTTAATCAAATAACAGAAAATATATCATGGTGTATCGTTGATTTAAAATGGCTTTTATCGTGGTTTAAGATTTTTTTTTTCCCCATCTCGCCCAAAACTGTTTGAAACCAAGACTTTAACTTGTGGAAAAACCTCAAGTTGATGGCTAAACTTCTCCACATGCAGGCCTTTGAGACCTCCGTCAACGGGGATCAGCTGCAGCTCACCCACGACACTCATGAGGAAAGCCGTCGAGGAAATGCTTGGATAACTTGGAATTTTCCATTCAAACACACGAAGACGTTTTTGATTCCAGTTCGGTCTGCAATTGCTGAATGCTGACAAGCCTCGACAGACAGTTCAAGCAAACCTCTGCTCAATTTCACACTAACCTTTTCCATTTTTGTCTGCCAGAGCTTCCTCGATAAAGTCTGCCGCCTCTTCAAAGTAAACGCTGAGGTCAAAGTGATCCGTGTCGCTGGCCGCCACTCCATGGTAGGCGATCCCCGTCCCCGCGTAGAACTCTGCGTTGGTGTTCACGTGCATGGAGGAGTTTCCCTGCGCTGCGTTGAGGACATGGGTGATGCCCAAGCGCTTCAGACGTGTTATGTGTGTCGCCACAAGTCTGCAACAAAGTCAAAAGGAAATGCGACAAATGCATTCAAGCTCACAGGATCACAAGTCGAAAATCGGCGACAAAGCTGAGCTTCTCTTGCGTGACTTCCCGAAGATATAAGCCATGATGGAAACCTGCAGCAAACGATTATAACACGTGGAGATGGGTAAGTCCCGATACCGGGTACAGACATTATTTGAACTCTTTCGCCATCAAAAAAAAAAAAAAAAAAGAGAGAATTTCATGAGTGCCAGCCAATATACAGCATTCTGACTGATTTGTTTTGACCTTATTCTTTTTTTTTTTTTTTCTAATCAGCAGTCGAACAAGAGTTGGTTTCACCCAAATCACCAATGTTGGATCAAACAAACATAGAAAAAAAGGCTTTTGATGACACATAGCATATAATTGAAAAAAATAAATGAGTTCGATTGATTTGATTTCCCATTTCAAATGATGCTGTTATGTGGCACTAAAATACATTAAATAGTGATATTAGTTTTGAAATGTGCAATCAGATTTTTTTTTTCAATGCCTTGACCAATGACAACAACGTAAATGGTCATTTAAACCTGATCATCATTCAAGTTGTATATTATGAAATCCACAATTAAAAGAAGTACCCACGCGTGTGGTATCATAACTGCATTTCTGATGTTTTTCATAAAACAATCTGTGTCAAAATTTGTGAAGAATTTGACGAGTTAATGATTCATTTATTGGAGCCAAACACAAGTTTCCTCAATACAACTACGTAAATGGAAGGGGTGGCCGCTGACTCCCGGTTCAAGATGACAGCGAGGTCTGCACGTCCTCAACCAGGCGAAGCGCCCTCTGCTGGTTATTTATGGTCGCAACTCCCAAGTGGGACTTTTTCAAAGCTGCCTGGCCTACTTGGAAAAAAAAAACGAAACAAAAAACCAACACGTCGCAGTTTTAAGAAGGATTAATAACTCACGCATTCCCGACGTAGATGCGGGGATAAACCTCGTGGGCGTGTTTAGTTGGCCATCTGTAAAAGCCGCTATCGTCCACCAACAAGTCGTTGAGTTGCTGGAGAGTCACTTCGAAAGCCGACATGTCCGGTCGCTTTGCTTCTGCCTTGCTGACGTGATCGCTCTGTTTATTTTTATCCGTGATGGCACAAGTGAGCTAAACACGCGCAGGAAGGTCAAATGTGTTGCAGAGGGAGAGACAGACGGAGAGAAAGCCTATACGAGACAAATCTCTTGCTGAAGTAGCATTAGCACACATACAGAAGTACAATATGGCACATAGCATATAATTGAAAAAAAATTAATGAGTTTCATTTCACATTTCAAATTACGTGGTGAAATGGCACTAAAATCCATGAAATAGCACCGCTTTAACGCTGCTTTCTGAATGGATTGATGTTAGTTTTGAAATGTGAAATCGGCAGTGATGAAAGTCCTCCAGATTTTCCCAGAATTCCGGATTTTCTCATTCTCATGAAAATTCTTCTGGAAAATTGAGGAAAAATTCCCCAAAATTAAAATTAATTAATATTAGTTGACAACATTGAACGAACACGCGTTTGGGTTTGTTGTTTTGTTTTCACGAGCGTAGCCATGTTGAGGCACGAACACTAGTAACAGTGTTGAGATTTTCGTCTCTTTATAAACACAACTTGCTATACCCCAGTGGAACGAATAAAAGACGCCGTGGACAAGACAGCTGTTGTCGTAAAAAAAAATATATATATATATTTGGACAAAGAGGGAAACACAGATGAGCAGAAAAACGTGTCCGCTCGTCTCGGCTAGCTTAGTTTAGCTGTTGTCATGTGATGTCGGTTGCGTCGGCGCTGATTGGTTGAAACCAAAAGACGCGCGCGTGCGTACATGTTCGGGCTGACGCGCGCACGCACAGCACACAGCAGCGGACTACCGACTGCTGAGGCGCGCTTAGCTTGAGTGGCGGTAGCTACAACAGGAACATCCCTCCCCTCGCATTCTCATGGCCTCGCCATATCTCGGAGATTTTGACATTTCGGCGAGAGCGGAAGCCACAAAGGGCGCACGTGTGCACACAAAAGGCAGATGAATCATTGAATGTCGAGTATTTGAAGAACGTTTTGTGTAAACTAATTCATGCGTGATAGGCCAGGTACGGCCCCAGCGCAATGTTCAAACAGGTTAGACGGGCAAGATGACATTCGTGCAATAGATGCGAGTGTCAGGATCACGTTCAAGTGGTCAGTGCTTGATGAAAAGGACTTGAACGGAGATATTTTGTCCGACTACATGAGAAAGGCTGACAAACCTGGTAAGTCCGTTAAAATCATACACATATATAAATAAAATATTTTCAGGAAAGTCCACTTTCATCTCTGAATCAGACTTTAAGAAATGTGTCCTTGATCACGTTTCATAGACAACCTCTCGCTGTTTTACCTTGGGTGTATTGATTTGTCGCGTTTTGTTCTCCGTTCTAGTTCTGTTTTGGCTAGTTGGGCTTCCTTGCCTCTTTGTTGCGAGAGATTTTGCGTTATCCGTTCTCCTTGCCGTTTGCAAGCTCTTTGTTTATTTCGTTTTAGCCTGGCTCTTTGTTACCAGGAGCTTCTGTTGTACATTGTCAGGTGTTGTTTTTTTTTCTCTTTATGACTTATACCTTTCTTACCGCTTCTCAACGGAACTCGACAATGTACGGCATGTATGTCTGCCTCATTTGACTCAAGTTTAATTTATGTCGATTCAAGCTTTCCAAGTCAAACGCATGAGTCAATGAGGTGAATGAATACAGGGTCTGACTGTAACAGCCAAATGAGCTGTGACTGGCCATGTGAGTGCATTTCAGACACTGAGAAGATGACATGATAACTTGGGGCAAAAGATTTGTCATTGTGACAAGATTAGGCGGAGAAAAAGTACCGTGGTGTGTTTCCGGTAACCTGACCGACCGAGAATTTCTACGTCGAAAAAAAAACCAACCCTCTACATTTTTGTGTAGAGCAAGGGTGCCCATTACATCGATCCTGTTCGACTGGTAGATCGAAGACGGGTCCCAAGTAGATCCGAGCGGTGTAGAGGATAAAAAAAACAACAATCATTTGTGTGTCTTTGTACATGTCAGGAACATATATTTTGTGTTAATGTACGCTGCACCCTAATCATCCTATTAGTCTCATTTTCACAAAAAATATTTCAAAAATAAAATAAAGCAGGTAAATCATTAACCTACGGTGGCGCGTGATTACGTCACCGGAAGTTGTTAGCGCTCAGCGGTCTGTCTGCAATTGCAGCTTGTGATCAGACCTGTTGCGCTATATCTTTTAGCGTCATTATTTTCATTCAGAGTTTGCTTTGTGTACAATTCACTGAGGGCACGGTCAAAGAATAGGCATCTGGAGGGCCCAGGGCAGCAGTGTGCGTGTGTGTGTGTGTGTGTGTGTGTGTGTGTGTGTGTGTGTGTGCGGTAAGGGGCGATCCCGGTAGGTTGGTTGATCGAAAAGTCGATCTAAGGTCCAAAAAGTTTGGGCACCCCTGCTGTAGAGGGTTTACATCGGTGCAAACTCTCGCGATATTCACGTTGAGCGCGTGCGTGGTTTGCCCTGTCGTCTGTCAACAACATTGAATCATGCCAGCGGCCGTGATCTCCGACAGTTGAAACCGCGTTTTAACCAGTCGAGTACTGGGCTCAAGATGAAAAGACAGGCTCAAAAAGCAGCAGCCAATGATCATGATAAATTGGCGTCGAGCTCCCTGATGATGGAAGTTCTCCGGTTGGAAGACCACAGAAGCAACTCGCAAGAGCCCGGCTGAACATCACAACCTCTGCCAGGTGAATGGTAGCGATACGAGTGGCGAGTTGAGCGCGCAGTGCAGCGGAGCGAACGCCGGCGATAGACGGATGCGCGGCGTCGCTGTTAACACGAAGCGCCGTTTTCCTTTGTGCACGTCAGCTACCCTTCGTACCTGCCAGCATGTCAGAGACCTTGAAACTGTCTGCCCTGGGTCAGCCCTTCACCTTGGGGATGCTCTACAACGCCTGCAAAGACGAGCTCATGCCAGGTAGGACCGGATGCGCGCGCTTGTCCCGTTCATTGCGGCGTTCCCCGGCGGTCGAAAGGATCTCACTTGCGGTGGCGCGTCCGTCCCTGCAGGTTTCACTCTGTGGGACAAAGATGCGCTCGATAGGCAGACCAGCGCGACCGCTCAGAAAAGCAGTTCCTTCAAGGTTACCGCCTCGGACACCTTGGAATCCAGGTCTTCCCTGTTGGACGTGGAAGCCTCTCTGAACATGAGTTTCATGGGCGGCTTGGTTGAAGTCGGCGGGTCCGCCAAGTACCTGAACGACCAGAAGAAATTCAAGAACCAGAGCAGGGTGACCTTCCAGTACAAAGCCACCACCACCTTCAAGCAGCTGTCTCTTCCCGCTCTCGGGCCACTGACCAGCCAGCAAAAGCAAATCATCGAGAAGGGCAGGGCCACCCATTTGGTCACGGGCATCCTGTACGGGGCCAACGCCGTCTTTGTCTTTGACAGCGAGAAGGTGGAGGCCAGCAGCGTTCAAGATCTCCAGGGTAGCATGCAGGCTGTGATCAAGAAGATTCCGACCTTCAAGATCGAGGGAAGTGCCAAAATCCATCTGTCCGAAGAGGAGAAGAACCTGACCAACAAGTTCACCTGCACCTTCTTCGGAGACCTCATCCTGGAGAAAAACCCCGCCACCTTTGTCCAAGCGGTGGAGACCTACTGCGAGCTCCCCACGCTCTTGGCAGACATGAACAACAACGCTCCTCTGGCCGTCTGGCTCTACCCTCTGAGTTTGCTGCACGACAAAGCCGCCACGCTGATCCAGGACCTCAGCGTCGCGCTGTCGAGGAAAATCCAGCAGGCGATGGAAGTTGAAAACGAAGTGAAAATGAGATGCAACGACAGTTTGTATAGTAGCGTGGCACAAGACTTTCCCGTCGTCCGCAAAAACATCGCCAGCTTCCAGAAACTTTGCTCCTTCTACAAAGCTTCGCTCCAACTGGCGCTGTCCAGCAAGCTCCCTTCCATCCGCGAGGGCAAAGAAGACGAGAGCGCCCTGGCAAAGGTCTTTGACGATGGAGCGCGATCTCCGTTCCGCCGCGAGCACCTCAACAGGTGGTTGGAGAACAAAGAGCGGGACATCAACGTGATCCGGTCCTGCGTCGACATGATGACGGAGAACTCCAACGCTTACGTGGTGCGCACCAAGTCCGAGCTGGATCGAGTGGTCCTCTCCGCCGGCGTCTCAAATGTTCTCTGCTACGTTTTCACCGACTTGGACAGCAACGACCCCTGCCTGGATAGCATGGCCAAGTACTTGGACACGTCCGCGCTGGGCGGAACCCAAAACGAGTACCAGTCCTTCTCCAACGAGGTCGTCGTGCAACTGAGAGAAAACGCCCGGACCTTCCTGAAATACGCCAGACCTCTGCGGCGTAGCGCTAGCGTCAAGTTCCTCATCACCGCTATGCCGAATAGCAAATACAAGGGATCTTCCATCTACCACTACCAAGACGGCCTTCTGGTCAGCGACAAATTCACGGTGCCCGCCGTCCCGCCGGTCGAGACCATCACGGACAGAAACCACCTCATCTGGTGTAAGTTGCCTTTTGTTTTTCCTTTCGTGCCGCGCCAAGCGTCGTCTGAAAGCGTTGTTGCCGTTCTCCCAGATGCCACGGAGCTCACCTTAGATGAAAACACCGTCAACAAAAATCTCACGCTGTCGGAGGAGAATCAGAAGGTGACCTACGGCAGCGTCCAGTCGTATCCATCGAGCACGGAGAGGATTGTTGTTCGCCCTCAAGTTCTTTGCAAAGAGGCGCTAAGCGGTCGTCACTATTGGGAGGTGGAGTGGAGGGGTCACGTCGTCTTGGCGGCTGCTCACAAGAAAACTCCGAGGAAAAAGAAAGATTCAGGCCAGCTCCATTACACTGACTTCGAATCTTGTTGGGCAATGTCCGTCAGCAGTCAATTTGAAATACCGATCGCGTGTGGGTTGTGGGCTCTTCCGATGTCATCTACTTCCCTAAGTGGCGTGCAAAAGGTCGGCATGTTTCTGGACTACGCCGCAGGCACTCTGTCTGTCTACGGCGTCTCCGGAAACAAGCTGAATCACGTCTTTACTTTTGAGCATGCTTTCGACCAAGCACTCTACCCAGGTTTCACCGTTTATTACAAGTCCAATTATGCTCGTCTGTCGTATTAGCGCAACCAAGCCATTTTCCTCCGGTGCCTCCGATTTTTTATCCCGGTCTTTTCAAACAGACTTTGAGAAGCAATTGGAATTTGGCGCCATTTTGTCATTGCGGTTTGATTCTCGCAACTTGATTAGTGTGTTGTTTGTGGCGTCTTTTCAGTTTGCGGTCAATACTCAGAAAACGCGATCAGGGGAAATAAATTGGTCGTGCATGGAAAGATCCAAAGTTAAGCCATGCACTCGTAATTTGGAGAAAGAAATCAGCTTTCGCAGGGCGACACCGTTGTGTTTTGCTGTTTGGAAGATTTTTTGGGGGGGTGCATTTCTTGTTTTGCAAATTTCAATTCTGATCTGAGAAATGCAGCAAAGCGACTGAGAAACATGCATTTTTGGAAAACAAGAACATTCAGCTTTCGCCGATTGGACTTTTTTTGTGGGTGGCGGTGGGGGGCATCTGCGCACTGTATTATTTTGTTGTATTAGCCCGGAGTTGGTGATCGTCTTTCGATCTGTTGGCCTCGAACGCTGTCAACGGAAGTTTAAAGACTATCAACCCTTCATGAAAGTCAGGAACCGTTAAGAAAAATGAAACCACCCCGAACAGTCATCGTGAGGAAGATATCGCACGGGAATAGGAAGTCATTTCTTTTATTTCATCCCAATTGTCACGCCCAGTCAAAAAACAGTGAGCACATTTTTTTTCAGCTTTGAATCAAAGACAACGCCGGCTTATTTGACTGTCGAATAATGACGTGAAAAGTGACATATCATCATCATCATCCCGATGAATTCACATCAGCCATCCGAATCGGCCCGCGTTGCGTTCGGACGTGTTGCTGTACAATCCGAGCGTTGCAAAAAAGAAGGAGCCCGGAAGCCTTCCGTTGGGCGGCTTCGCCCTTCAGCACAAGTGAGGTTGCGTTTTTGCCGCCCGGCAACGGAGGACTTTCAAAAAGCTGTCGATCTTGTGCGAATCTCGGCGAAAGCAGGACAGGAGGAACTGGAATTTGATCAGTTTGGATAGCTTGTCCTGACCGACGTCATTGCCCCCTCTGTAGGGCAGCGAGGAAATGGTCTGAGCCGTCGGGTCCATCTACGGGAGCGAACCAACGCATTCTGGATTTGATGTTTTACGAAGCGAGGTCACAAAAACAAAAAAAGTCATTTGAATCTTCAGTTGAAACACGGTTACCTTGCCAGAGATGATGTTCAGGCCATCTCCCAGGTTCTTGGAATGCTCCTGCAGCTCGTGGATCTTGTTGATAATTTTGCTTTGGGCCGGGTGAGGCAGGGTGTTGGCAGAAGAGGACAGGACCACCAGGGGGTCCGCCCAGGCTTGGAGCAAGGAACGAGCCAGCGAGAGCAGCTCCGACTCCTGGAAAAGACAAATGGACCGCGCTCAGCTGAGGGACATTTGGGATGGATCATTAGGCAAGGAGAAGAAAACATCAAGTTGAGGCGGTGAGACCCTGAAAAATCGAAATAATCAAGCCGTGTAGGGGGGGGGGGGGGGGGGGGGGCCCAAAAAAACAAAAAATTACATTACTTCCGTTTTATTTTGGAAAATTACCGGATTCTCTGTTACATTCGTCTACAGTATGTCACTCTTGACGCAAGTCAAGTCGCGCTTCTCAGTCACGTGACAGGTTCGTGCTAAAATGAAACCCGGGAGCGAGCAAAATGAATAAAACAAACGTCTTTGGAAAGTTTCTTTGAGAAGGGTAAAGGCCAAGTTCAGGAGACAGAAGAGGAGTGTACGACTTTCAAGAAAAAGAAGAAGGCTACATTTCATCGACAGCATCAGGAGTCCGACTTCAAATACGGACTTTTCTCAACGGGAGATTCCCACGCACTGAGCCCGCTCTGCATCGTAAGCGGTGAAGGTGAGTCGTATTTTTCATGCACTTTGTATTTGTGTTGCGGCCAGATAGAACGTTCCTTGTGTCAGGATTCGTGGTTATAGAATCTGTTTTTTTTTGTTGTTGGTTACGGATAGTGGGTCTTTTGTACATGTAGTGAAAAATGTATTCGCTAAAAAAAAACAGAAATATTTGAAGAGCAACTCTTTTTAGTGTCATGCATTCGTCAAACATGAACACACAACCACTCGCGCTCACATGATCCTTTCTTAACTCATTCACTCCCAAAGACGTTTTTAAACGTCTTTTCAGACTTGGTCTAGAATTAGCTGGTACTGAATGACTTTTGGCTGCTCTTGTCAACCTCCTCTCAGTTCCTCTGATGTCATGATCACAATGGCGCACAACATTGATCTCAGTCCAAGTTTCCAAAGGCCGAAGTAAGGCTACAGCAGGTCCCGGAGCAGATTTGGAAAAAGTCGCTTACAGACACCTGGAGCGCTTGCTCTTTGTCACCGGGCGTCTGCAAGGAGGACGTGTGGCACGCCGACGGCCGCGGCATGATCATCCGCCCCATTGGAGGGAAATGAGAGTCCTGGCAAGAACGGATGCAGTCAGTTCAGAGCGGCGACCACCGGAGCATTTCATGCGAATTCATGAGGAGGTTGTCGAGTTCTTTGAATTCACGTGAGTCGAGCTTGGCGGGCCGGAACGCGAAGGCGGACACGTCAAAGCGGACTCACGAGGTCGTGGGTGAGCGTCGTGCTGAGGGAGTAGAGTTTGTCAGAGTGCTGGGCGGCTCGCTCCAGCAGGTCGCCGATGGGGACGCCGCTGCACACCGCCACCATGTACATCACTTGGAAAAGAAGAGCGGGACAGGGTGTGCCGTCACTTCCTCGCCCATTTTGGTTTAAAAACAAAAAACAAAGCCACCGGGCTCAATCCATCCCACTACCCGTTCTCTGTCTATTTATTCTCTTCAGGATTGTGCGGCGCTGCCGGAGCCCATCCCAGACGTCTAAACAGAAAAAGGTCCCGGACTGGTCGCCAGCCGGTCAAAGGATTGAATGCGACATCAACTTGTGTTTCGGTCTCATTTGATTTTGTTTGTCTCCATTGTGTAGGCCGACTGCTTATCCCGTCGGGAGTCGAGATTGCTCGAGACGCAAAGCAACCGAGACCGTCGCCGTCCATCTGAGCCTTGACACAATCTTCCCTGAGCATTCTTCGGACCACGGCGAGCAACATCAGACATGCACACGCCGGCGTCCAAAACGTGCCATCCATAACATTTTACGACATGTAGCGCGATGTGAAAAAAGTTCAAATGACTTTGAGATCAAAATAGAACATCTTATCCGATGGAGATTTTTGACAGTGAAAAAAGTGACCGCAACAAATATCTCCCGAAGAGATGCGCGCTTGAGCGTGGAAAGAACTGACAGGGACTCAAACGAGGGTCACTTTCACTGTGATTCTTGTTGCTGTGAGTTTTCCAAATGGAAAAGGTCGTTTTTGGTTCGTTCTTGTGATTTCCAAAGCACCCTCGTTCGCCAAAATGTTGCCTTTTCGGGTCACTCTCATCACTTTGAGTTGAAAAGTTTGCAACTGCCCCTCACAACCCTCATGAGTTCAACTTTGAATCCTTTTACCTTCGTTTTACTGAAGGACGTTTGAAAGTAAAAGATCGAGGACGATCAAGAAAAATATTTTTTCGTATTTGTCAAGGAGCAAATGTGTCTCGCTGTGGAAGAATAGTCAAGCGCTTCCCGTCATATCATGCCAATTAACTGCTGCAAATGGGCTCAAACTGATTCCACACACACACACACACACACACACACACACACACACACATAATTTTCAGGTCCTGAAATGTTTTGAAAAAAAAAAAAATCATACTTGTTATAATGATTTGACAAACCGATTTTTCAAATGCCAAAAAGTGTGATTCTCTTACCAGTGATGAAAGGTTTCCTACCATTGCGTGTTCCGTGAGTCATTTTTCTTCCTTCGCGCTGTACCTTTCTGTGTGGTTGTTTGTTTGCTTTTTTTTTTTTCTCTTTTGCCTGTCGCCTCTGTGTTTGGACTCCCGTTTGCTTCCATTTTATACTTCTTCTTGCTCCGAGCGTTTGCTTATGCAGCAGGGACGAGAGCCGATGCGCTAATTGTTTGCCGCTTGTTTTGGTCCGCTTCATCATGCCAGCCTCGTCCGGGAGATGTGAATGAATGCAACGGCTGCAGGTCGACGTTCGGTTGGAGGCGCTTCGGTGCGGCGCCAAAGTGGAAAAAGCTTCTTGATCGCAATGACGTCGATGAATAAAAACACGCGTGTTCTTGCAATGTTTCTCAATGACGTTGTGACGTCAATTGCTCTCATTCATCCTTCGGAAGACGCTTGAATTAAAACCAATAAAAGTGACCTTTAGAGCTGCTGTGATCGTCCCTTTGGCCTTCATTTTAAACACTATGGCACCAATTTTTTTTTTTTTTTTTTCAAGGACATCTGCCAAATTTCAATGTCATTTTGAAAGCAATCAAGTCTGGCGCAAAGCGAGCGTGCCTTCTTGTGCCGCGTGACGATATATCCTGCTGCCGCTGTGCGACATATAGTCCGACTGCTATGCTATATACTCTGGGAAACCCAAACCGCAAACGACCGAGTTTTTGTGGCGGGCCAGATAATTGAACGGCGCAGCCGCCCGAAAAAAAAAAAAAAAAAAGACGCGTTCAGTTTGTGAGAAGAGGGGAGAGTTGAGGCAGAACAGCTTGTCCTTACTCGCCATGACAACACGTTTGCTCATCATGCCCGAAGCATCTGACACTTCCTGGCAGAGAAGAACAGTTTCAAGACTTCGCCAGTGCTTTAAGTGGAAAAAAAATAATGTGTGCTGCCCTTATTCGATAATTTTTTTTTTTTTTTTTGCCATCAGAATATCTGCAAACCGTGCTTTGAATGCGTCATAGAGAATGCGACGAATACACAATTGTTGACACTAACAAAGTGAAATCATGAATAAAGTAAGGAGCGCGTTCATTCGAGAACGTCGCATCCGGTCGAAAAGTTAATTGGATGTCATTTGATGCTCATGTCATCTGGACACCGCGCAGCCTTTTCTAATGGCGTATGAATGAGCTTTTGCTTGATTTTCGGCAAACGGCGCGGACGCCGCTGGAGCCGACGGCCTAATCGCAGACAATAAGTGCCGCTCAAGTCATTGAGAAAGATGAATCGAGGTTTTACCGGTGAGTTTTCAAGTTGCTTCACAACTGTGGAAATGTGTGCTGCCTTTTTTTTTTCAGCAAACCCTTGACAGTACGTCACGTCTGGCTGAGACGAAAAGCAAAGTTTGCTGTGTCAAAAATGAAGTCGTCATGTGGCACAGCATCACACAAGCGGGAGACTGGCAGTCATCGCTATGGTGAGTTCAAGCAAAAAAAAACAAGAAAGCGGCTCTTCCTTCTCTTTTGAATGGGCCAGTTGACCAAGATCACGGAAACGTTTCATTACCCTCGAGCCTGTATTGATGACGATGTCAGGATGAATCGATCAGGTACGTTATCGTGCGTAGTCGAATTGTTTTAAAAGGTGTTGAAGTTGGGGCCATTTTCAAAAATAGTCTTTTTGCTCTCAGGTCCTTTCAACTTTTTCGTGAACTTCTCATCTGGACAAAAAGGCGCTGCAAATTCATTGCTTGTCACGAGGCAACATCGATGACGTTCGAACAATCCGATCCCAACTCAGGTTTGTCCACGCTCCAATTCTGTCCTTGACATGAACATGAGCCCGTTTCCTTTGCTTTCAGGCATGCTCGCAAACGCTGCGATGCATCCGGTCGCCACTTGGCGGTGCAGCAGCATATTGTCAAGCCATTCACTTTTGCACAGTGTGCGGTCTAATCTCGAACCATTCAGCCAAGTGTTGGGGGACAATAATTAGTTCCACGTGGCATCAAAGCTTCTGGTGACCCTGACGTGATTTTTTTTAAAAAAGGGGGAAAAAAAAAGGTCAATCACTGCCCCTTCTTGTCTCTTTGCAACCTGTTACCTCCCAGAAGTGTTTGCCGATCAACTTCCGCACAAAGTCAGGTTGCGTCACTGACCTTGAAATCCCACAAGCCCCTGCTCAGGCCTCCCCCCCCCCCCACGCTCTTCCGACCCACGCTATGGTCTCACGTGTTTTGACCCCTCCCACCTCCTCCCGCGCGCCCTCCCCTTTCACTTACTCTCTCGCATGACCGCCGTCTCTCTGTGTCTCCATTGGTGGCGCTCGGATTGCCCGCGCTGACGTTTGGACGACAGGAGCAGGACCCGCAGCATCTACCGAGCCATCCGCACAGCAGACATGTCGGACTCCGAGAGCGCCGCTGCCGCCGCCGCCCCCGCCGAGGCCCCGGTTCCTGCTCCGTGCGCCAGTATCAAAGCTGACCTGGACAAATGGTAAGCGACGCACGCGTGTGCAACTTTCAACACCGTCACATGTACTTTTTGCGCAACATTCAGTGAACGGCTGAGGCCTCATCGCGCAACCTGCACCGAATGCGACAAGATGTCGCGACCTCTGGGTGGCCACGGAGAGGCCGCAGTTACGTCATGCAATAACATGAAAATAAACGAGCGATGTGATTTTTTTCGCAGCCTGATCCAAAATGATTCATAATTGGAAAAACCCGCCGAAATTCCAAGCGGATTTAGCAGTCGGGGGGTTTCGTTCCGTCAGCGCTCAACTCCGGCCTGCTAAAATGGAGTCTCCGCAGAGGGCGATGGGAGTCGCGTTGAAAGTCACCACGAAAGCGAGCTCTCGTTTAAGCGACTGTGACATGTGAGCGGAGTCTCGGGGTCAAAGTCATGAAAAGCCGGGGTACCCGACGTTGGAGGCGATGATTCGGACACGGATGGTATGTGACAGCGGGGGTGAGCTTTAATGCCCATCGCTACGCATGGATGAAAGCAGGGAATCTGCTTACGTCACCAGCCTCCTCTTCCCAGAGTGCCTCGCGGTGGTGAGCCGGTTGCGTCCGTCCCGTCCGCCTGTCTTCTCTTGTGCGGCGCTGCGTCGACAATCGGCGTTGATGACTTTTGCTCAAGTCTCAGACGAGACGCGCGACAGACCCCCGACAACGAGGACGCCTCGGTGCGTGCAGCCGAGCGAGCCGTGCGGTGACGTCACGCTTTGCATCCCGGTGCACTCGGTCGCGCGCAGCTTTGTACGGGTGACAGTCGATTCCAGCGGTTCTCCTGATAACCGGAACGACGATGACGACGATCATCTCCGCCCTGTCCTCGTCATCCAAAGTTGAGCCGATAGGATTGAACCCCGTCCCCTGTTTCGTGCTCTACGGCCGCCCCAAAAACTTGGAAAACTCCTCGATCGTATGCACGCCTTGAACTGAAAATTGATGAGACAATTGCTTTCTTGGCCGACTTGACCGCCTTTCAAAAAGTTGGCGGATTTCCAAGTGGCCCTTTCGTCCTTCCATTTTTTTTTCTTCCGCGGCACTCCAACGTCAAAGTTGCTATCGGCACTTTTTATCGGGAGACAGTATGTAAAGGGTGAAGTGCTGTTAAGTTCTCACATGATACAAGACCAGCTTGTGTGGGGCCACGATAAAGAAATGGCTTGGGTGGGACTTGGTCAGATAAGACCCAAGTTGGACGCGAACGGGCTCCCTTTCCAACTCATTCTCTCAAACTCATTCAGTCTTAGTTGAGTCGTCTCCTGTCAAAGCCTTCAGAGGTATTGGTGGCGGCCCGTCATGTCTACTCGCGTGTTCGGATGTTGGCCCCGCGAGCGGAACCATCGGGAAGTAGTTCCAAGGCCATTTCCAAAAAAAAAGCGTTTCAAAGTCACGGCTCGCGGCGAGTCCGAGTGGCTCCGTGTGTGCGGGATAACGTGATAAGTTGACATACTGTATCAACTTACTGCTCTGGCTGACAGCAGCTTTTTCTCAGGACCGCCAAAGACGCAAAAAGTTGATGACGTGCACGTGACGATCCGGAGTGTGGCATCGGAGCTCTCATCGACATGCGTTCATATTAGGACGTCCCCCAAATGACCTTCAAAGGCGGAGCCGAGGAAAAGAGTCCGTTTCAGAGGGGACTCCGTTTTCTCTGAGTCGATTGTTTTAATTCAGGGCTGTCCAAACGATTTCGTTGGAAGGCCGCAGACGGAAATGTGGAAGGATGAAAGGCCCACTTGAAAATTCCTCAACTTTTTTGGAACGCGCTGAAGTCGGTCAAGAGAGCCGTTGTATCGTGGTCGGCATTGTCTCGTTCATTGCATCAGCTTTCAGTGCAAGGTGTCAACCCCCCCCCCACCCCCACCCACACTTTACCCTTGACCCGCCACGCGTGTCGACGCACACAAATTTTCCGTTACTGATTGACTGCCGTTGCATGTTCAGTCAGGCAGCCTCTTTCTTGTTATTTTCCACGATGCAAAGCGGTGACTCAGCAAACGTTCGCATTGTGAGTCCGCTGTGCAAAAACGTTTGCCGATGTCATGAATTCTCAAGCGCCCGCCGACAGCAGAACTTAATTAGAAGGCAAAACCCATGGAACTGATTTTTTTTTATTTTTTTAATCAGGTCTACACCAATTCAAATCCAGTTACATTTGCTCTATTTTCGGGATTTCCATGAACCTGACACGTGAGCTCCAAGCGCACGGGTCAATTTGATCCAGTACAAAAGCCGCACGGAAAATGTTGCCTCTTATTGCCGTTGTCCTTTGCATTCTCCAAACTTGCGGTCAAACAAGTGCTCCTCTGACATTAGCGTATCTAACACACACTTCTCTGTATCATGTCGTGCACTTTTACGCCACTATAGATAGATCGATAGATAGATAGATAATTATACACACACACACACACACACACACACACACACGCACTGCTGCATCTACCCTAAATGAATTCCTGTCTGCCGGTGTCAGTCAAGTGGAACATTTTTATTTTGGTCAGAGTGACATTTGAAAAGTGACTTTTAAAAAAAAAAAAAAAAAAGCCGCCATTATAGCGCGTGTCGGAACCGATAAACTGTCCCATGAGGGGGATGCCAACATCCCTCGTTTGACTCATGTTCCACATTATTTTTTTGCCGCCGCACCCGCCGAGTGATCTCTAATGCGTGTCGGTCGGTCCCAGAGGATAAACTGCAACGGGATCGTTCTCAATAATTCAGCCCTCCTTTTGTGACAGACAGGAGGACGCCATCGCACACTTCCAGTGATGACCGGATGCGGCGAATGCATTTTGCTCATTCTGCTTCGGGATATGAAAAACCACGACGGGTGTTCGCTCGGGGGGGTTGAAGGCAGCAAAGTGATTAGGTTGAGCTGTCATCGGCTTTGCCCCTTGTCATAGGACCTTCCTGACGCGCGTGCGGGCGCGCTCTCTCGGAACGTTGTGTGATGGCTCCGGTGGGTGATGTCATCGTCTCCTCCTCTCTTCCTGTCATCCTGCCACACGGACGTGCATATGTACGCGCACTCTTTCATTACAAACCGGGCT